CCCCCCCCCCCTGCGGACGCCCTTGACCACTGGAACTGTTTTTTCATTTCTTATTTTTGCACACTTATAGATGATTGCGATTAATTTATATACTTATTTAAAGTCTCCATCATGCAGTAAACTAAATGTATGTTATTTATTATCGATACTTGATATTGTGACTTTCAAATTTGGAGTGAATTCACCTATTTAATCATGAAATTTGTGCTCGATTTTTGGTTTATCAGAATCTTAATTTTTAACTGAATTATTAGTTAAATCAGTAGAATATAATGTACAACAATATTTCAAAGTATTTATACTTCACTTTGCAATAACAAAATAAAAATATTGAAAAAACTTGACTTTGGAGTGGACACAGATAATGAACCATTGCTTATTTAATAGTTGTATGGTGGCACTTAACCAACAAAAATAGTCATTTTTCAATCGTTTACCTTTTTTATAAATCTATTACCTATTAAATATGAAACTTTATATTTATTTACAGTTCATTACGTTCTGTCATTGAAAAACCCCCGATTGGAGGAAAGGAAATTTTACCATTAACAACTCATCAATTAGCTGGATTTCGATTACATCCAGGACCAGTATGTATTTTTATGTTAAAGTATATCTAATATATAATTTATTGTTATTATGTTAAGTCTGACATATAAATTTTTGCATTTTACCAGTTGCCAGAACAGTATCGCTATGCTAATCAACCGCCTACTAAGAAACATAAAAACAAACACAAAAAGAGTAAATACAAAAGTGGTGAAGCCCTTTCACAAGATATGGCAGCTAATGAATTAGGGTTAGGTGATATTCACGAAAAGAAGCATAAAAAACAAAAACGTCACGATGATGATAAAGAACGGAAAAAACGGAAAAAAGAGAAAAAAAAGAAAAAACAAAAACACAGTCCAGAACATCCAGGAAATACAACTCCTGGACAACACTCGAACTGAAAGAATTTTTTCCTCAATTACATATTTTAACTTTGAATTTGTTTTCAATCAGTCATGAATAAATATTAAATACTAATAAAATGTATATAGAATGTTGTCAAATTATTAGAGAGTTTTGAACAAAGTGTGTTGTATAATACAGATGGCAACAGAAAATTGTGATGTAAAATTTAATTTTTCACTATTTGATTGGGATAGGTGAATTTTGTTTTAAATAAATAATTATTTTATCTGCACTAAAAGTAAATATATTTTTTTAATATCTTTTAAAATATACCTATTTTAAATAATACATTTTCTATAACAGGTTATATTGCTATAAATATAATTAAAAATCAATATTATAATTTGTATGATTAAAATTCAGTATAACTTGAAGTTCTCTTTGCAAATCTCGCAAATGTTAAGGAGCTTACTACCATTAATTTTATAATATATAGATAGCCCATGCTATACAAATATTCGACGACCAGAAAAAGGATGTAGGTATTCGTTAGCATTAAATGCAATTAATATTAGTTTAGCATGGGATATCTGTAAATTATGAAATCAATGTTACTACTATCCCAAATTTGTTTGTATTTATTAGAATTAAAAATTTACATACTTCAATAAATTGTGATACTTTTAAATAAACTTTCATGACTGTAGTTGATTAAATATGAAAAAAAATCTATTTTTATAATAGAGTAGTGTTTACTAAACAAGTTGTCTACTACTCCAACATTCTTTTCCGTCTTATTTTACTCAAAAAAATGTTAGTAACAAAAAATAGTAATTAAGTGACATACATAAAGCTCCATGCAACAATATTATAGTCTTCAAAAATCAAAACCTTGTTATGGAATATCATTAATTAAAATAATGCATATTATAGAACAACAAAAAGGAAATAATTATTAAGTGTAAAGCAAAAATAATTGGCATTATTATTAAAAATATGATTATTTTCATTTATTTTAAGATCTGTGAAAAGGTGATTCTGTTAGAGCAAAAAAAAAAAATCCATTATTTAATTATGGTGGCACACAACTTACTATTGACAATTATCTATGTGGTCCGTAATGTCGAAAAGGATGTGCAAACACTTGGAATGTGTAGTTTTTTGTAGAAGGCCCCCTAGACAGCCAGAGGAAAAATCCTTTGATTAAACTGATTAAAGATTAAAATGAACTTACCAGCTTACCATTTACAAAAATGAAGTTGACATTGTTTTGTAAATGAACTTGAAACATATTAAATTATTATTAATTTCTAGTTTTTTGTATTCTTTGTGTGTGTTATAGAGGAATTAAAAAGAAAAGCATTGATTTAAATCATTATTTGTACAGTAGAAATCTTGTATAAAACCAGGCTTAATAGTCAATGCACTAAAGAAACATGCCTCTAGCAAAACTATGTTTGAAGTCAAAACTCAAAAGTCTTTAAGTGAAGACAGTTTAAGACAAAAATAATTTCCAAAATTATGTAAAATATTAAATAGTTCATATCAAAACAAGCAGAAAAAAAATAACATTTTTTTTTAAAGATGATATCAGCGCAATATTTATTTTCTGACAGACCTACTAACATAGATAAGAAACTTTCATCTATAATAGTTTTTATGATTTTTAAGTAACCTTGAAGTAAAATCACCTATTACAAAAATTATAGAGGACAATATTTTTGAGGGTTTGACATATCAGTCATACATTTTAACATTATTTGACTTTGTTTTCGTCAACTTTCAAAATAAAAAAATTATTTGTTCATTTAAATATTTGTATTGTTTTGAGACAACATTTAGACTAACCGATGTCATACCTTCAAAAATATTAGTCTTTATCATTTTTGTAATGGATGATTTTATTCTAAGATTTCTCAAAAAAAAAAACGATTCTGAGTATTAATTAGATGCATTCTGTCTACGTTGTACGTGCACCAGAAAAAACAAACAATGCTCTGACATGTTATGAAAATACTCTTTCCAGCTGTATAATTAATGCAGGTGTACCTCTCAAGGCTCAAAAATGTGACCTTTACTTTTAAACTTATACACTTCAGATCTTCCAACAACAAATAATACTGAAAAAGCACTAAACCCTGACGCTTTTTTGTACAAGTTCTTTTAATGCAAAATACTTTTTGTTGTTGATATTGATTTATTTATTTGATAGAATTGTTTATATCATTTTATGTGATTAGTATTATTATTAGTTTGTGGTTATACTTCCTGATAATAATAAAAGATTCTAATGAATGATCTTTGAAAACAAATTAAGGCAACAAATCCATCCCAAAATAGTTAAAAAAATAAAAATATTTAATCATATTGGTGACTGAACAATGGACAGTGAAAAACATTTAAATTGTATTGTGGTTCAAGCAAATGTTTTACCCATGTTCTCATATAATTCATTCTAACATTGTACCTAAAACTGGTGCTGAACTTGTGCACTAAACTTTTAAACTTAAAAACAAAACCAGCACTAGAAAACAATTACAATGAAATAATGTTATTATCAATATTATCTGCCTCTATAACTCAAAAAATTTTCATTTCACACATCTGTGCATAACATAAAATTTCAATTTGTTTTAATTTTCAATTTTTGATGGCTTCAACTATAGGTTACTACTTATTATAATCTATGTTTTTTGATTCCTTGAAAGCCATAATAAACAATTTCTTTTTTACATACTCTAATCAATATTATCGGTAAAATTAAATAAAAAAATTGTGAACCTTTAAAATCATTGATATGATATCGATATGACAATAAAATTCTGATTTATTTAGATAGTAGTATAATATTCATAGTATCTATTATAAAATGTGAATGTTCTGTAAAACTTAGTAACAAAATAAATTTAACATAAAACTTAAAACTTGTATATAAGTATAATTAGCATTTAAAATTAAATTAAAATTCCTAATTTTTTCTGTTTTATAATAAAAATAACAATTAATTATTTAAAAATAAATCTGGAAATAACCAGTAGTCATACTTTCACTCTGATTATAGTTTAGATGTTACAATAAACTGCTCAAATGGATTGGAGACTTCGGGCACATTATTTAGCTCCCATGACCCACCATATGCTGTTATTTTGCCAATATTGCACAATCTTTGAAAAAAAAATTTTTAACATGTATAAAAATTGTATTATATATTATGTGCGTTCAGTGTACACTTACAAGTATCCTATCTTTCTTATTTCTGGGTTAAACCAATGGTCTCCCATTATATCAACTATATGTTTAAGTGGCATCAACACCTTTTTGTTTTTTGAAAAGTTTGATATGATTTCGTTAATTCCGGCAACAGAGGTTGAAATCGGCAATTTGAGTTTTTCTTTGTGGTTTGTTTCAATATGCATATAAAGAAATCTTTCACACACATAATCACAAAATGGGCAAAATTTTGGTACCTGAAAATTATGTCGTATTTTAAGTGGTAACATTAAAAATAACTACAGAACATTTAAAATTACTTTGTCTAAAGGGCCCAATTTCAATTTTTCGGCCGTCAACATTAATTTGCATTTTTTCTTGACGACTGAAGTGGTTGGCAGTGATGGCACTTCTTCTGATATCACCTCAAATTCTGTTGGATTAAAACATTTAGAAAAAAGCAGAATTTGATTTATATAAATATAACCAATTTACCTATGTTGGTTTGTTTAGGAAGTGATGATGGAATAAATTCTTTCACTGGCGTAACTGATGTACAATAAAAATATTAAGTTTAAAAATATTATATGATTAAATATTCTATGTATTTCTTACGTGGATCTATATCAAAATGCAATTTTTGCCACTCTGAACCAGCAATTGGTGTTGAAGTTGATCTTTGCTTTATCGGCTGTGACAGTGGTGAATTAAAGTTGGACTTCTTAACTGATGTACAATAAAAATATTAAGTTTAAAAATATTATATCTATATGATTAAATATTCTATGTATTTCTTACGTGGATCTACATCAAAATGCAATTTTTGCCACTCTGAACCAGCAATTTGTGTTGAAGTTGATCTTTGCTTTATCGGCTGTGGCAGTGGTGAATTAAAGTTGGACTTCTTAAGTGATGAAAATAGTGTACGATAACTGGGCAACGAAGGCGGTACTACTTTGTAACCATTAAAAAAACATGAGAAAAAATGTAATTAAATTTTGGATTTAATTCATTATTTACCAGCAAAATTGTCAATTTCAGAGATGACAGTACCAGCAGTGTTAGAAGGTCCCTCTTTCAAATCCTGAACTATGCCTGAAACAATAGTATACATTTCAAGGGTTTTACCATGAAATACTAAGATAAGTTTAATTATTATTCAAAAATAATTTTAAGTCCTTTTTTATCATAATTATGGGGTTTTAATTTAGCTAGACACTTAAAAAAATAATTCTTTTATAATTTGGTCTAATTAGAGCCTATCAGCAATGTGCTCATCCCTCCCTTCTGGCTTACTTTTGTCATATAAAATATATGATAAAGCAATAAATGAATATATAACGTGGTATAAGACTAGTCAAAACTTCAACTCTCCTTTCAAAATAACAGATTATATTAATAATCTATTAATAATTCGATATGTGTATAACCATTTAGTTGTAATAAGAGAAATGCAGTGTATAAAAGTGCACTGCAAAGAACATGACATACAATAGACAATAGTGCACAATAAGCACATTTGTGATTAATTGACTAGTTGCCTAACTTTAAAATTTAAATAAATAAAATACAATATTCAAATGGTATAATACATGTTTGAAATTAACAAACCAATGGCTAATGGAGTATATGACAAATATTTAGCTCTAGAACATAAACTGTTTTCTACAGAGTGGCGCAAAACAGGCAGTGCAGTTTTGAAAGGCTATTAAAAAAAAACTACGCAACTAACAGAAATTATATTAATTAATTTTTTTTTAGTACATCATGCCGTTTTATGTATCAAGTTTTAAAAATAACATCAGAAAGATGATGGCCGCAAGCAGCGTTACATTGATGAAGGCGATTTCTGAAGTTTTCGGCCGCATTTTCACACATTTCGACTGGTATAGCGCCGATTTCCTCCCGAATTCGCTCTTAGAGTTCTTCCAAGGTGTGAGGCCGATATTTAAAAACCTTTTCCTCCAGATAGCACCACAAGAAAAAATCGCAAATGCTCTGGTCCGGTGAGCACGCGGGCCACCTCACACCACCTCTCAGAGAGACGAGGTGCGTAGGGAACATCTGTCGCAGCTTCGTCATTGAAACTCGAGCAGTATGTGCTGTAGCCCCGTCCTGTTGGAACCAGATGTCACCCATATCTTTTTTTTCAATTAGCTCTTCCAATTGAGGTTCAAAAAAATTGTCCAACATGGAAACGTAACGTTGAGCGTTGACAGTTACAGTTTGTCCATTCTCCTCTAAAAAATAAGGCCCAATCACCCCAAATTTTGAAATTGCAGACCACACGGTCACTTTAGGGAGTGAAGAGGTCTCTCGTGAATTTGCCATTACGGTGAGGGATGGTATCATGACAAGCAAGGTCAAACTGCAGCCGGAAAGCTCGTTGAGTTGCGATGAAAGATCGACCATTTTCAAAAAACGCACGAACGGCGAAGCCCCGTTGTACACCAGACCAAACAATGGTAATGACCAATGACGGCATAACCCGCTCGATGAAATGAAACCATCATAATCGCACTATCCCTACCACACAGGAAGTATCAACCTTTCAAAACTGCACTGTTTGATTTGCCCCACCCTGTACTTTAAAAATATTAATAAATATAAAACTCTTAAACAAATTATTTACTCGATTTTACTAAGATGTATACATAGAACAAATCTTAAGTTTACCTTCAATACAGTATGAATGGGTAGGAGCTTGTTGTATTTTGTCCATCATTTTCTTTAAAGTTTTGTCATCTATTGCTTGAATTTGCGAAATAGTTTTAATCGTTTTCTTCGGTTTGGTCTTAGGTACATACTTTTTTTTCTTTAATAATAAATTATCTAAGCAACAAAAGTAAACAGAATATATTAATCTAGACAATGTCATGGTCTTCGGAAAAAAAAGCCCTCCTATCACAATATGGAAAAAAAGCTCTGTAACAACTAAATACATAACACTTTTTACTATAGTATATATTTTATCATTTTTAATATTTAAACAATATATCATTATTCATTAATACATTTTTGATATAGTAATAAATTGTAATAAAGGTAATTGACATTTGGCTTTATCTTAAAATAACTACCTTTTAATCAAATAAATGTATTACCTAGTATGATAAATTAGATGCATAATAATAAAATAAAATAATTTAATAATTAATAAAAAAAACAATTGTTTACATTAATTGTTAGGTGAATTAGCTTATTAAATATTATTATAACATAAAACTATAAAAGTTTATACATATTAACTTAACTAGTATTTTATGTTATACTTATGGTTATGGATAGGTACATTAAAGAAGTGTTACATGGGTTAATGTAATGATTATATTATGATTATATTTAATCATACAAATCAAAACAAAAAAGAATAATGTATTTAGTTGGTAAGGGGCTTTTTTTCCTATAACCAGGCCTTTTTTTTAGTATATTTTGATAGCAGGGCTTTTTTTCCTGAGTTCTATGTAACACCTCACGCCTGCCAGCATATGTTGTTTCAATCTTACAAACATATCAAATAGGTAGCAACTTTATGTTTAGCAGAATCAATTTTATCATATAAGCTTTAAAATAAAGTGAACCTATCTAATCGCTTAAAAGTTAAAATAATCAAAAAACACACAAATAATATTCTTACCTAAAGTTTACCACACCATACTTTTGAATAAACAAAGAACACTAAATCGTTTTAGTAGAATTTGCTGTTGTACATTTGAAAACTAAAGACAACACGTCATGTGAATGTAGTGTCCTCATAACCTAACCCTCATAAGGACACTACCTGGGCATTTGTACTGTGTTGTCTCCGTCAGACAAATGTATGAAGTAGCAAACTTTCGTTCACTAATTTCAAGTGTGCAGCTACTTTTGATATTAGAGGAAATTTACCTATTATCGAACTTTTCTGTGTGCTTAAGCGTTGACGATTTTCTCGATATATTTTAATTTTCTACCAAGAAATGGGCATGTAAAATTACATGTTGAAACTAGTGAACAAAAATTTAACATGTCATACGAGGGGAAGGCAAAGGGGTAGGCATGGGTAGCGTCCTCTTAAAGAAATTATAATTTTTTATACACAAATTCACAAACATAATATGCTACCAGCAAAAATCTGTTTAGACAAACATTTGGCTTTGAATTATCTGCTTGTTTCAAAATTACCAGAACATTTTATCATAAATTATAAATTATTTTTAATTTACAGTACTTTAAATGTAATGCATTATTTCACACATGAGATAAAACATTACCTTCACTTGGATCTGAACTTATTTCTTTTCTCTTATTTTTATTTTTTTGTTTTCCGACTACCGAGTCTGGTAATCCTGTTAAAAAAGTTGAAATCTTATTTTTCATTGTTGATACTTCGTCGGCCAAAACTGAAAACAAAAATGACAATATTATATGATAATATAGACGTAAAAATATAGAGGAATTTACGATACTATAAGATATCATAATATACTATTTACAACAAACGTGATTTACCTATCTAATAATATTTAATACGGATTTGAATGGTGTTCAAAATAATTCTCGGAAAATGAGAAATTATATCAGACTACCTATCAAACATTAACTAATAATAGATAGCGGTGTACTGAGAACTGAACAACCGCCTGTTGGCTACAATCTGAGTACCGACTCGGTACTTCGGTAGTGCGAGTGGTTGGAAACCGAAATTTGAATTATTAGACCTATCTGGAGACAGGCAGACACTAGACAGCCTGCCGAACGCGGTTAGGTTAGACGCCAAGTACCGAACCGTTACCACCAAATCGATGTGTCGACTGTTGTCGCCTGTCGGTTATCGGTGAGTACTAGACAGTAGACACTAGTGCAGTAGTGCGTAGTGTGTACAAATACTATAAAGCGTGCTACTACTGTCGGTTTGATATAACAGTACAAGAAATTGTACAAAAATACTGTGTGTCTGTGACCTGCGCGCGCGCGCGTGTGTGTGTGCGTGTGTGTAACTGTGTTATTTTAAAATATCATGTTGGTAATGTTGGATAGTGTATATTATTGTTATTGACTATTGACCAACTAAAAATATATTAGTAATTTCCATCATCCAAATATCATGAAAATAATACTTTTTTCAGTGATAAACTGATAAATAATATGTATAAATAGACGAGGGTTTAAACGTCATTCCCACGTGCAACCACTCCATCCACTAATATGATCAGTGTGACACTGTGACATATAATTGTTGCCTCTGTTGTACCAACGCAGTAAAATGGCGTAATGCATCAACAAAATGTTATTCATTCACTTTTAAGTACTTTAAACTTGCTTCAAAATTATAATATCAAAAAAATCATTCGATGGGGCACTCAATAATATTACCTTAAAGTTTAATACTAGTTTTTTTAAATTTAATACATAATTAAAATATCAAAGAAAATGGATACCTCCGAACGCACAATTTGCCAAATGCCAAGTTATGCATTAGCGTTGGTAAGACGGAAACATTATGACTGTAACATAAGAATTACGATTTGCGTAATGCAGTATGACACTATGACGTACTAACGTGTAGATATTCTGTTCCGACCACAGATATATAAAAATACTAGATAGCCGACTTCTATAGTACATACGTATAAAATAATGTCTCCAACAAAATGGCCGCCAATCGTTATCTAAGAGGTGACTGTTTACAAATTTAACTGATATGATAAGTGATAAGATACTATTTTGGAGGGGTATAATATTTTAAATTTTGTTGAGACGTAAGCCTTAAGAAAATTTTTTTTCCGAATTATATTTATCTGGAACTATTTGGTTAGAGCTAAAATTCGGAACCTTTTATTATTTATAAAAATAATTTAAATTTAAATATTATGTTTTATTGTATTTGCATGTAATTACATAGAACAATATGGTAATCGCGAGCTATTTATAAATATTTAGCATCTCAAACGCAAAAACAACTTGATGAATCTATAATAATAATAATAATAATAAAATACATGTATTATGTTATTATTTTGTAATTATATACGAGCAAATATTACATATTTAGCATACTGTTTTTTATTTTATAAATATAAATTGTGATACATGTACAAGACTTACAGTAAGTACAGTTGTTATTAATATTTTTTAAGTACATACATATTACTATGGTTTATTATTGCTGTGCTTGGGGCTGTTCAAATAAAAGAGTGCCTAACAGTGGCATTCATTTTTTTGCGTAAGTATATTTAAAAAAAACTGACATCAATGAAACTTACAAACTAATTATTTCCAAAATTTTCAGCTTTCCTTTAAAAAATAAAGAACGTACTGAAAATTGGTTAAAAAATATTAATAGGAAAGGGTTTATTCCAACTGAGTATAGTAGGTTGTGTAGTGAGCATTTTCTCCCTAGTGATTTTAAACCTTATAATAAGGAAAATGGTCGTTTACGTTTGAATGATAATGCAATACCATCAGTATTTAATTCAACAACTGAAGAAGTTCATTGCCAGAGTATAATAGAAAATTATGAAGTTGAAGTAGAAGTTCCTCTTGATTTGAGTATGTCTAAGTTAGATGAAGAACTTCCAGTCACACTTCAGAGATCTGTATTGGTCAGTGATATTATAACTACACCTAGAAAAAAAACAACAGTATTATTTCCAGAACTTCAAATTACACCTAAAAGACCATCATGTAGAACACCAAAAAGAGGTAGACCCCAAAACAATTTTTCTTGCATAAACCATATATAAAAACTTAACTCCACCCAAAATCTGTATAAAATAATAATTGTTTTTAAAGTTTATTAAGTTTAAACAATATGATATTATAATTATAAGTACAACAGTATATTGTATGTTTAACACTGTTCTTCAATTGCTTATCATCAATAATATAAAACATAAACATTCACCTCTTAGATAAGGATGGCGGCCATTTTACTGGCGACAATAATAATATCGAAGTCGGCTATCTAGTATTTTTATATATCTGTGGTTCCGACGTTCTGTGGTGGAAGTCTTTTTAAACGACAATAGTATCAATTTACAATTGTTACACTCTCACACTTCGCTACACAGGGCCGACAATTATTGAGAATGTTTCTAACTGTAGAGCTGCCAACAGTCGATGAATGGATTTATTGGACTTGGTGATATGAATATACCTATGACCGTAGACTTTAAATAATAGGTATACTCTGAAGTCTAAAATATGTTATTTTAGTTACATAATATTATAAGGCAATATTTTTTCTAAAATTTTCTAAGATTTGAATGGGTTTCACTGAACATGAGCCTCATACTGGGGACCATGAGTTCACTATTTGAAATCAACGATGAAATCACGATTTAATATGAAAATTATCTTAAAATCGTACCACGAAACATCTTTTTAGATTCTGAGCAAAGCGATGAATGTATTGATTTTGCAATGCTTTTTTTATGTCTGTGTAGATTGTAGGTACACGATAAGTAATAGAAATAATATTTCAATTTTCAACTTCAGTAACTTTTCGGGTGGGAGAATGAATCTCGAGTGGTTCAAATTGAAAATTAACACTTATGTTTAAGAAAGTCAGGTAAAACCATAAAATAGTAAGGAAAAATTTATGCAAAATGAGTAGTCAACAAAATCGATTTTGATTTTTGAAGTTCCTCTAAAAAAAAAATAACAGTTGATGCATTAAATGTCCACTGAATGTTTATATAGCATTTATCTATGCAGTAAACACTATACAATTTTTTTAATGTTCTGATTCCTTTATAGGCATAGGATGATTTGTATTTTTATTAGTTTAACATAAATATGTTTTAGGGCTGGATATATATTATTTGTTTCTGACCGATTTTTCGTGTAAGGTTTTCATTGTCTTGGTTACTTATTAACAAAAATATATTTATGATTCATAGATTTTCCTTGTAAATTAAAAATATAGAGTACCGTGCTATGGTTTTTTTTAAAATTATTGTCAATAGCAAAATTTTCACTCCGTCAAAAAATTTGTAAATATAATTCTAGGTTCCTTATAAGTTGTTGTTAGTGGTAATTAAAAAAAAAGTACAGCGTAAATACACAATCATCATTTTTTAGGAGGATCTGACGTTAGTATTTTAACAAAATTCATCAACATCGCAAAAATGTACTAATAATTATGATATAAAAAAATTTACTATTTATATCAAAGCTTTGAAAATGTACTACAATTTACAAGTTCCTCATAAGTTTTTCTACTTTCAACAAAAAAAAAGTTTACTGTAAAGTCAAATTCATTTTTCATGTTCTCATTGAATGATTACTGATTAGTTACCCAACTACGTCATCATTGATTAAAATGATTAAATATACATTATTGCGCGCAGAAATACAAGAATCAGTGCCGTTCATATATACAATTTCGGTTAGCGCATATGGCATAGACCTACATCAAAACCAATAACAATTACAATAATGAATAATAGCCATTAGGTATATCGAGTATCGACATTGAGTAAATCACTGTAATGCACCTGTTAAATTTGATTTCAATGTTTCAATGACATTATGTCATGTACATGGAGTATGAGCGAAAAATTGTTTTTTATTAGGATAAGTTTATTTTTAAGTGAAAGTCTTATTTAGGTACATTTAGTAAATAACCGTGATTTTTTTGAGTAATATATAATTCTTACTTTACACTAGGTATTTATAAAATAATACAGTTCAATATTATAGTACATTAATGCCGATCCCAGATAGTATTTGTATTATAATATACAATATACTCGGAGTTTTTAATAATATTTTTATAGCAATCTCAGTATTTAATGGTTAGTTGTTATATTTTTTACTTTTTCTAACAAATTGACAAACATTGATACTTTTATTCGTAAATTCTTTATTTGTCTTAAAAGTTGTTCTTTAATAGTTGTAATTTTCCTTTTTCTTCATTTTTTTTTTGTATAGATGTCAATAAAATTGTATTGGTTGGGTCAAAAAGCATAAAAATGTAATACAAGACTCTCGATAACTTGTTACAATAGCAGCTGAAAAATATTAGGCACGATCTTTTTGCAAACATTTTAAGTTCAAATGTTGACAATAAGAATAATGGTTATCTTTTTGTTGTAATTCGGTTCCAAAACAGGCCAATTTTTCATAGGTATATTTAATATTTTTCCAGCATCACTGATAATTTAAAAATAATATTAATTCAACTTACCGACTACCATATTAATAATAATTAATAAGTAATAACTGTATAAAATATCCTAAACTGACATATCGTCTCCACTCAGAATCGTTTTTCGTATACAATGATTTGATATCATTGAAGTCAAATGTAATACCGTCTATTATAGCGACCTCTTAGACACCTAATGTACAGTAGAGCGACATCCACTTACCAGTTTTTTTGGTAAATGAGCTTCCAACTATGTTAGATGACCTGATGACCTTCCACTAGACATGTCTAAAATAGGTACTAGATATAAGGGAAAATTAATATTTCAACAAGATGGGGCCCCGTATATTTTAGTATTGTGATACCGTGAAAGTAATATCACAGAATAGATTAAATTTAATCTAAAATTTAATCTATTCTGTGGTAATATGTCGTTTATCTTAATAACTCAAGTCACAGCCCACAGGTACTTTCCCGTATTAAAATTATTTACAAATATTACGCAAGAGTAAGTACCTATGAGGAGGTAATTTTGAAATATTTACCCGTAAGTAGCAAAATACGCATGTAGTACATAGGCGTAACTAGGGGGAAGGCTAAGCCCCCTAACTTTTATTTTAGTCCCCCCCCCACCCAATCATAATTCCTATACTCCCACCAATGGTAGCTACAAATTTTTATTTAAAATATTGTTTAATTTGTTTATTTAAACTATATAATATCATTTATATGTGTTGAACTGATGACTGATGACTCTGTATAGTTGTCGATAAAGTAAACACAAAAATAGTCTTCACCCAGAACAATAGACTCATAATATTATTTTTGTAACATGAATATGAATCTATAAACACTAAACAGAGATAATGACTGACAAGGAACGATGACCGGACGACGATCGCTGGGGTAGTCGGCCGCTTATAGAGGAGTGTTATACTAAAAACAGAATATATATTTTTTTTAAATTAAACTTTGTGTTACAATTAGTTTCTATTTTTCCAAAAGTTTCTTGACATAAAGTACAATATCATGTTAGTATATTATTAATTATTATAATAATAAATTAGTCAAATTTTGTTTTCTTATGTTTTTAAGCCTTAATAAATATAAAATAAATGAAGCCGAATAAAAGTCAGAAATGTTGGTTGGATAAGCAATTGTTTATCATTTAATTTTTTATCATTTTACTGTCATCAAAGAAATTTAAAGGGGCTAAAGAGTATTTAAAGAATTTTGATCAAAAATTTGTTTTCCAAATTTATATATAATGCTACAGTAATGATTTATTACTTTCTATTCCAACAAGCAGGGGCGGACTGACGACCATTCGGTCCTTAATTATTGAACAAAAATCGGCCATATTCAATTTCAACCTAGACTTTTAGACTTTGGTACTTTATTTTTGAATTTTGGTTACTCACTAATCACCATAATAAACAAGTGATAAATGTTTTTAAAATTAAAATGTATTTGATTCAATATTATTTGTTTGTTATGTACCTTAAAGTTTAAATCAGAAATCATAGATGATATCTAGAGTATAATGCCCTAAAAAATGTATTTTAACCGCAATAATATCCAAAATATGACTAAAAAATTGTGTTAACAATTATTGAGTATTAAAAAAAATACGAACTTATATACGCGATACGATGTAACGCACCAATTAACCAATTAATTGTTACTGATTAGAGTAGTTTATAAAATCATAAATTGTACAATCGACAAGTAATGAATGGTCGCAGCAACATTTTTGAAATTACCAATTAAATTTAATCTAAAATATAAAAATGTACCTATATCATGAATAAATGTGCACTAAGATTTAACAAAAAGGACTTGAAAATTGTAATAATTATTGCCCAAAAAACACCAAAACTGATAAAAACGCAAAATATAAGTTTAATAATTTTAAATTCTTTGATGGAAGATTATGGAAGTGATTTTGTACATGAAAAGCATTGCCGGGAACTTCCTAAAAGATAATGCATTTTAAATTTAAGTACGGACCCTATATAGTTATAACTTATAAGCATTTAAGGTTGAGTTGAGCAGAGTCGATTATATTGGTCTACTACAAAGGTGTTCTAAATAGAAGAGGTCCAAAAAAAATCGTCAACAATAATATCATACCATGTGGATTATTTTGTACCAGCCCATGGTACGTTATATGACATCGGCCCACTGTGCAATTAAACAGTGGCACAGTGGCCCAGTCCGCCCCTGCCAATCATAGGCGCAATTTCAGTTTTTAACTTGGAGGGGCCCAATATATTTATACATATTTATATCAGGCCCGTGGGGGGATCTGCTCCCCACAACCCCCTCCCATTCAAGTACCAATATAGGCGATATCATATTTTACCACTTACTTTCCTACATTTAATATACTATAATGCATCTATTAATACAACTAAAAATATCTGTATGAAAAAAATAACAACATTTAGGTAAATAAATGTAATAAATATTATGTAACAACATTTACTGTATTATGTAGATTAGATAATTAATGAAGGATTTAATACTTCAATTAAAATATAAATTTTTGGAGGGGCTAAGCCCCTCCAAGTCCCCCCCCCCAAATTGCACCTATACTGCCAACGAGTTCCGTATTTAGTGAAACTGTGAAAGAACAGTTAACAGTTTCAGCAATGCTTCTAACTTATGTTACTTAATCGATATAATATTTTTGAGAGAATGACGTATCGATTTGTCTAAATATCTGTCTCAAAACAATTTAAATACCAATAAAATATAAAATCAATAAGTCATTCCCTCAAAAATATTATTCTCTATCTTTTTTGTAATGGGTGATTTTATTCTACGATTATTTACAGACATAGGAAAAATGATTCTGCGTAAATGTGGTTTGTCCATATCACGCGTGGGCCTGAGAGATAAAACAAGTAGTGCGCCGACATCTGCACGACTGTAGATAGATAGATACATAGATCGTCGCAGACATCATCTTAAATCGTGATATCAGATTTTCAAACATTGAATTGCGATTGTATATGATAATAATAATTAAATACGTATAATAGAATATAATACAGGGTGTGGCGTGGTTACTTCCTTATTTTAAAAAATCATAACACAAAAAGTTTTGGCAATATTGATGTAATTATTTTTTCTGTGTATAGGGAGGGGTATATTTAAAGTTTTATTTTATTTGGTTTATCGGATTATCGATCCGTATGCGGATTATCCACGGAATTCGTTTATCCGTGGATGTCCTGCCACCCTATTCCGCGGATAATCGAGAGTACACATCTACACTGTATTTAATGAATATTATATTTTAATAAATTTATATTTTAATACTATTTATAATAAAAAATAATATACTTATTACTTAATACTTATCCATAGGTCTTGTTCGGTTTTAATTTCTGATAAGATATTATCGAACTCGATGAATTGGTAACACTGATGGTGTTTGAACCGACCGGATCAACGGAAAAATGTTCAGACAAAACAAGTAACAACGGACAACAGTTGTTGGACACTGAACGACTGAGTACCCCTCAGAGTTCAGAGTTTAGGCGGTTTAGTACGAATTAGTACGGAAGTTATAGAAAATTGGAGATCTTATCGGAAAGTTAATCGTTGTATCCGGTTCTCCGAGTTCAGTGTTGTATCTCGTCTGTCGCCTAATGTCTTATTGTTAATGTATTTGCATTTTTAACTTTAGTCTAGTGATTTTTTAAAGTTATTTATTCTTTTTTGACTACCCATAAATTTGAAAGCCACTGAATGAAATCCGCCGGTGTGAAATAATAGCACTGCAGTACGATGGATAGTTGCAACATTAAAGTGGCGATCAAGACACGTCCTTTAAACCACAAGGAACAGTTGGACGGTCGAGTTTACTGGAAAGTAGAATCCGACAGTGTTATTCATATTGATCCCATAACTAAAAAGAAGATCGGAGAACAATTTTTTTTCGGTAAAATGTCGTTTATTTTTCTTAATTAATAATTTTTAATCCTTTAAGCTGTTTGTTACATACTGTATGAGAGTATAATCGTAAAAGTCAAACTATATAGGGGGGAATGAGTTTTTTTTACTCATACTCACTAGTCACTATAGTACATTTTTTGGAGGCGCGAACTAATAAACACATTCTTATCTTTTGACGAACTGAAAAATAAAAATAGATTGAAATACCTAACATTTTATTGAAACGTAAAAATAAATAATTCTTTATTTAAATGAGCCTTTTGATTGGAGTCAATTAAAAATAAAATGTTTATAGTAAGTAGGTATGCCGTATGTATAACTTTTTTGCTACTGCTAGATTGTGATCCTACTTAGCCAGTAAATAATATTATCTCCCCGCTTGAATTTACTCATGCATTTGGGACATATAAAGACACCTTTGTAACAAGCTTTAAGATCCTTTAGTTGATTACTCTTGTGTTTATTTAGTTTACAAACATAGCTTGTAGAACCAAATTAACTTGCATTTAACTTGTTTCTACAAATTTTGGTGTGTTATTTTTAAATGAATGGGTAGGTATCTCTATTATCAGTATGAAAATCTATCATCTTCAGTGAATAATGATAAAAATCACAATCAGTAACATCGGAGGTAGACGGACACTTATTTCTAAATCTATTTAGAGTACCTATTGTTACTAAAGCAATTATTTAATACTTCTCCCTTTTACTTGACATATTTAAAGATCAGTGGTTATGTTTTCGTATTGAAATAAGTTTATTCGACTTAAGATAATTTAAATATTAATACATTTATGCACTGGTATGGTGAACATACACTGTGATACACAGTATATATTTCAGTACCTCCCCACTCTTAATCCCTTTTATGTAATATTATACCTAAATATTTACATTTTTGTTTTATGTTATTCTTTACTGTAATGTATCTCATAACTCACATCTTCAATGCAATGCTCAGACTTTCTTATTTCCCACCACTCTGGAAAATTTCAACAATCATACTAGTACATTAACCTGGCAAACCCAAAAATATAACATCTTACCATCCAATCAGCCTCTTTCCATCCCTGGGAAAATTATTTGAAAAACTTCTATTAAAACGCCTTCAAAATATCTCTGAAATAAATAAAATCATTCCTAACTCACAGTATGGCTTCTGAGCTAACCATTCTACTATTCACCCTCTACATCGTCTCACCGATGCTATCTCATCTTCTCTTGAACAAAAAAAATACTGCTCGGGTGTCTTCCTCGACGTCGCTCAAGCATTTGAACAAAGTATGGCACAACGGACTACTTCATAAACTAAAAACAAACTTTCCAACCCCATATTATTTAATACTCAAATCTTATCTCACTCATCATTCTTTCCAAGTAAATCTAAATAACTCAATTTCAAACCAATATATGATTAACGCTGGTGTACTGGTGTACCCCACGGCACCTTTCTCCTCTTTTATATCTAATTTACACTGCAGATATACCTACATACTCTTTCACCATTCTCAATACTTTGGCCGACGACACTTGTATCTTAGCCTCCGATTCTGATCCCACTATAACAAGCTTCAAACTCCAACACCACCTCAACTTACTCGAAAATTGGTTCACACTATGGAAAATAAAAATTAATACAAACAAATCTAGCCACATTACTTTCTCCCTTCGCCCAAACAATTGTCCATCAGTCAAACTTTGTAATCAATTATTACCTCAAACGAACCAAGTTAAATACTTAGGGCTCATTTTCGACAAACGATTAACTTGGAAAGACCACATATTTGACAAAAGAAAGAAACTAAACTCCAGATTACATTAACCTAACCTTATTTACAAAATGTTGATCTTTCCTCTATGGTGTTATGGTATTCAACTTTGGGGTAATGCCGCCCCAAGTAACATACAAAAAATACAATCATTCCAATCCATCTGCCTTAGCACTATTTCAAAATCCGCCTGGTATGTAAGTAACAAAACCCTACACTCAGACCTGAGAATAAATTACATAAACCAAGGCACTAAAACTGCTTACCAAAAACTCCACAAAAAATTTAGCTCCCATAGTAACCCTAAAATTAGTTATCTTGCTCTCAACACATCTCTGACAACCCCCCACGAAGACTCAAACGAAAATGGGTTAGAGACCTCCTCCATTAATAAATATTAAATACCCAAGTAAATAGCTCTATTGGGAGCCCTCCTACATCATGACATTTTCATGTTATGTAATCCTCTTCATCATTATTACTTGTTGTGCTTAATTGTATAGTTGTATATTTTCTTATTAAATAGGTAATTAAACAAAGATTCAAACAAAAAAAAATAATAATAATGTATCTAAATCTAATCACCACATCCCCCCCAAAAATAATTTCTACCATGTCATAAAATCCCGTTCACCACACCACTGTATTTGTACTTATTCTATTCTAGTATGTGTATTGTTTGATTAATTTAGACAGAGTATTTTGTGATAAATCAACAAATTATGACGTGTTTGATGATATTGTCAGACCAATTATTGACAGAGGAGTGCAAGGGTTTAATGGTACTGTATTTGCCTATGGCCAAACTGGTTCTGGTAAAACATTCACTATGTCTGGTGATCAGTCAAACCCTGGAATTATTCCATTAGCTATTAACTACATGTTCAATGCTATGAATAATTCTTCCAGTAGAGAATATTTACTAAGGTATAGTGTTCATAATTGCTTATTATTTTTTATTTAATACAAATTGTATATTATTCTTAGAAAAATAAAAATAATTTATTTTTACAGAGCTTGTTATTTAGAAATTTACAATGAAAAAGTTATAGATTTACTGGAAAAAAAAAATAACAAAAATCAAACAAAAAAAATTGAAATTCAAAAAGATGGCTTACATATTACACCTTTAAAGGCTATAGTTTGTCAAAATTCACAAATGGTATAACTACAGAACCATAATATGTTGCTTATTAGTTTATAATTATTTAGTCAATCATTTTAATATATTTTTAGGTTATTGATCTTATGAAAATAGGTGAGAAAAATCGGAGTATTGGAGAAACAGATATGAATGAAAGATCATCAAGATCTCATACAATATTTCGCATCGTTAGTATTTTTAACTAATTTAAAAAAAAAGTTGATACAACATAAATATTTCAATTGTAAAATTGAACCTTCTATTCATGCAATTGACTAATTAGTTAATTTTTAATTAATTCTACTTTAGTCATATTTTTGGCAACATGAAACATTGACTATTTAAATATTCTTTATATCTTGTAAAAATATAGTTTTTTTCAATTAGTTTTAATTTTAATTTTAATTGTTTATTATAATTGTTTAGATTCTTGAAAGTCGTAATGTAGATGATGATTGTGATGGGGCTTACCAACAATCTGTGATCAATTTAGTTGATTTGGCTGGTTCAGAGCGAAGTAGTCAAACTCAGTCATCTACGGAACGGTTTAAGGAGGGTTGCAAGATTAATAGTTCTCTAACAACTCTAAGTCTTGTTATCCAACAACTTAGTGAATGTCCAGATAGGTAAATCATTTTAATCTTAATCTATACTAGATAATTGTTTTATTATATACCGTTAAATCTCCATATTATGATACAAACATAGAAAATATATGTATGATATGATGATTTATGTAATTTTAATTCATATTTTGAAGCTCGCAACATGTCAATTTCCGTGACAGTAAACTTACGAGAATATTACAAACATCTCTTGGAGGAAATTCTTTAACTGCAATTATTTGTACAGTAACCTTAGCAGTTGATGATCAAACATCTAACACATTGAGGTACCTATTAGAACTTTCAATTCTTAAGTTTTGTTTCTGTATACTTATGTTTCTTTTATTCTTTTATTAGTTTTGCTTCTCGTGCCAAAAAAATTAAAAATAGTGCTAAAGTAAATGAAAATGTCACAGACGAAACACTTCTAAAACGTTATAGAGTTCAACTTTCTAAATTGAACAAAGAATTGGAGGGTATAAAACAAAGTCAGTTTGAAAATGATGAAGTAAATGAAATGAAATATAAGTATCAGGAAGAAAAACGGACCAATGAAGAATTAAAGGAACGTATAATGCGTTTGCAAAGCAATATGATAACTTCTGTAGCTCACACAGATCAACCCTCAAATAAAGTAAAAATTTTCTTCTTTTTATGATGATTCACTAAATACTAAATATATTACATTTTAGAAAGGGTATCAGCGAAGAAGAACTTGGGGTGGAAAACTTGATAATACATTTTCTTCAAATAGTATTCTTGAAACTATTGAAGAAGATGTCAATGTGCATCGGCCAAGTGTACCACCTAACTTTGGAAATCTAAATAAAGGTTTACAATTTATTTTTAACTATATTTTTCTAATTTCCATTATTTATATTATGCAGATACTATTAAAATAATCTCGCTTAATATCTATATTGTAAATAATATTTATTTGATACCAGAATACAAATATAGCTGTACAAAAATTAGATAAAATTAATTCATCTTTGGTTCTCTTTTTAAATGTCTAACTTATTATTTATTTTAATATTTTTTGTTTAGAAGTTAAAACACCGTTAGAACCATTTGAATGGGACTTAATAAGAGAAGAAGAATGCTCTGCTGTTACTGAATCCATAAATAACGAAAATACTGAACATCATTTCTCACCGTAAGTCTTAAAAATTTGTACTAGATGACTAGCCTGGCTTGACATGAGATAATTGTTATTGTGGTACATGAACATTAAGAAAAAAAAGCATATTAAAAATCTGAACATATTTACATACATTATAAATGAATCTATATTTTGGATACATTATCTAATGTAAGAAAATTAATTTTCTTTAAAATATATTAATCAATATATAAAAAATGGGAATAAGCATTTTTTTGTAAAATTATTGAAAAAAACAAAAGTAAGCATTTTCAAATTTCATAATTGAATGTGTTGTAACATGGCATACACTTCAATAGCGCTCTACTACAATTTAAGTCAACCCATAAAAATAAGCAAATGCCTTAAGTCCCAAACCTTGTTAATAACATTATGCGTATCAATTTATGTTATTGAAACTTTCTTATTATAATTAAAATTATTTTATAGAAAATTGTTTTATTGTTTGCTATAGAATACATACAATGATGAGTACTTATTTTGAAATATGTAGGAATGCCATTTATTTATTCTTATTTATATCTCATTTATTTTTAGTTAATGTCTTCTTAGTGTCTATCAAATTTATGCCTCAACAATTTCATATAACTACTAGTCATTTTCATAAAGATTTTAATGCCTTTTACATATTTAATACTTATTACTGGCAAAACAGAAAAGTTCAAAAGATTGCACAACAATTTATTGAAACATTTAAATAGATTAATCTGGAGGCAGTGCCGAACTGGGTCAAAAATTATAGACGCGTGTTGCTATAAGGTAGGGATTACCGGTTAACGAAGACAATAATATGACACAAACATCTATTTTTGACAATTTATACTTTTTTTAAGGAATTTCCTTAATATTTTTGACGCACACCCATGTCTTACAGTCACAAGCCGCCACTTGACAGTTTTCTAATACAATCACATTAGAAAATGTGTCTACGTCTGTCGACAGGATAAACCTTAAAAAAAGAATGTTCCTACGAGTACACACGGCCTACTGGGAAACTCTTGGTATCTTATCTGCTCAGTCCTGCTCTGTCTGGAGGCTAAAGAGTGCATACCATAATTGGTGTAGGTACCCATATAGAACTAACTCAGATTTAACATAACAAACAAGGATAATAGATTTCATAACATTTCATTTTTAATTATAAAGATAATTGTAATTATTTATTTATTTATTAATAATTAGATGACATCATGCTTTATCTTCAAATATATAAGTGTTATGTATATCGACTTGAGTATAATCTATCTGTTATATGAATAGCCTCAAGCGACCACTGATTTTCATTTGGTTTGGTCAGACTAAACCCTTAGATTAAATCAGTTTCCAGCTTTTGTTTCTAACAATGAACCGCAGTCATTCTTTGTATCTAGCAAAATACTAGCTAGGTGAGTGTTAAAATAATTAAGTGACCTCACGAGAGCAAGGCACTCAGAGTGTGTTAGCCGCACCTATTGCTGTGGTTGTTAACGGAAGCCTTCCACCTGAGGTTACTTTTATTTGAGACAGAGTAGATGTGGAGAATGATTTATTAAACACCAAGGTTAAAATCAATTTAGCTCAATAATTACTAGTCTTCCTTTTGTTTTGAACTGTTATAATTTCCTTTACTTATGTGCTCATGTAATGATCATAATCTTGTCAACTTCATTTTACCTCTAGTTTGTTTTGCTCCAATGCCATTCAATTTTCTTATGATTATTATGATATACTGTTAGTTATCTATGCTGCCTATATTCTACTTTGATTAATATAATAATCATTTTAATTATCAGTACTTTTTAGCCACAGCTCAAATTTTTATAATTGCTAATGCAAAATATTTTATTATTCAGACCATCCAACATTCCATTCAGTGTTTGTGAAACTCCCAAAAAAGTTTTAAGAGAACGGGTAAACAATTACAAAAATATGTTTGAAATGAGCATGAAAGAAAACAATGAACTAAGAGAATTCACAACACTCGAGAAACAAATGTTTTATAATAATGTGAGTAACCAACACATTTTTAAATATTTATCGATATCAATATGTATGTTTGCCTTAGATCACATACATATATAGTATATTATTTAAGGTACTTACCATCTATTTTTATACAATTTAACAGTTATTATCTTATTACAGAATGAGCAATTGAAAGAGTTAAGTAATTTAAGAAAGCAAGTTGAGAATCTTCAAACTGAAAAAAATGAATCTGACAAAATGATTGAAAAACTTAAATATTCAATTGAAGTAGTTAAACATGAAAAACGTGATATTGAAGTTATTATGGAGGTTCAAAAGAATAAATATGATACACGAGAAATGGAACTTCTGGCAACAATTCAGGTAAATACTTAAGCAAGCTAATATAGAGCATTGAGTTCTATGCTTTTATATGTATTTTTTGTTTGTTTTATGTAGGAAACAAGGGAAGAGTTACAACTCAAAGAGGATCAAATAAAAAAAACTATATTAAGTGATAACTTTATGGCAGAAAAGCAAGAAGAAATTAAAAGACTTGAAATGAAAATTAAAGAAATGTATCAATTAAATAATACATATATTAATGAAATAGACACTTTGAAATTACAATTGTTAAATAAAGACCAGCAACTTAATGCCGAATCATCTAAGCAATGTTCACTTTTGAATGAGTTATCTCTTCTTCAAAATAATGCTGCCGAAGTTAAATCAGTTCCACGTGCTATTAAATTTTTAGCTGATGAAGGGTATTTTACTCTTAAAAAATGTGAAATATTGGAACTAGATCAATTATTAGAACATATTCATACTACGGTCGAAAAATTGCAACTAGAAAATCAAAGTTTAATAGATGAAAACAACAACTTGAAGTTATCTACAAATGAATTTAATATTCAAATGAAAAACATACAAGAAGAAAATAATGAATTGAGATTAAAACTTAACTCAATTGAGGAATATATTAAATGTACCATCAAAGATTTCAGTTTAAGTTCTGAGATAAATTTCGATCATTCTGATACAAAGAGTTTAATTGATTTTGCAGTTAAACATTTTGAAGAAAACACAAACAAAGTTGATATACTGTCAAACAAGAATTTAGTTTTAAAAGAAAAATTATCTTCATCAAATACAAAACTCTGTGACATAAAATCTTTTGTATTTAATGATCTTGATTGTATTCTTCAAAGTATTTCTGATATGGAAGTTAAATCAAGTACTGAAATGGATCAATTCAAGAAACAACTTTCAGAAACTTTAGATGAAAATTTATTTTTAAAATCTAGTATTCAAGCATTTAATAAATTAACATTTGAATGTGTTGATATTATTGAACAAGTTAAGACTAATCATTCACATATAATTTATCTTCAAGAAGAACTTAAAATCTGTAATATTGTTAAAAATGAATTACAAATACAAATTGATGAATTAAATAGATTGAATGTGAATCTTAATATGTTAATTAAAAACCAAACTAAAGTTGAAAATGAAATTAAAGAAAATCTGGATGCTAAATCTATCAATTTAAATGATGCCCATAGTAAAATAGATGAAATGCAATTGATAATAAGAGACAATGAAATTAAAGCTGAATCAAATGATATCATTTTAAATCAATTAAGAACTGAACTTGAAACTGTTAAATCAAACCTCAATGAAAAATCAAATATGACACTCGAGCTTAATGAAAAAAAATTACAAGATGATTTAGTTACCAAGACAAATGGTTTGAAAGACGCGCTAAAAGAATTAAAAGAAATGAATATTAAGCTTGAATTAAATGATTCTGAAATAGACAAATTAAAAACTTCACTAAGTCTAGTGGTATCTGAACTTAATAAAAAGTTAAAACTCATTGAAATGGAAAACTCTACAATTGAACTAGCTCAAAACAAGGAGTTTCAAGAAACAAGCCACCTTAGCATTATAAATTCTACACTTACTGACATATCAAAGAGTGAAAATGAAATTCATAATGAACTACTAATAAAAACCAAAGAATTAGAAAATGCAACTTCACAAATTAATGCTTTAAAATTATCAATTGAAGAAATGGAAACAAAAACTAATTCTAATTCTACTATTATTGAAAGATTAAATAATGAACTTGATGGTAATAAATTTGAACTGGAAGAAAAATCTAAACTTTTGAATGAATTCAAAATTAATAAATCTGAAGAGACAATGTGTAATAATTTAGAAACAATTTCTGAACTTAATGGAATCATTAGTAAACTTCAATCTGAATTGGAAGAAAAATTAAACATTGAAAAAACATTAAATAATGAAATACAGATTGTTTCAGTAGAATTAGATGATGCTATTTTAAAGGTTGATGAAGTAAAATCTGTGATTAACATTTTGAATACAAATCATGAATCATATATTTCTGTTGTGGAACAACTGAACTATGAACTTAAATGTGTTAAATATACACTTGATGAAAAAACTGAATTAATATCTAAATTAGAAAACACAAATTTAGAACTTTTAACAAAACGTAAGAATTCTGATGATCAAATAAATAAAACCATCGTTGACCTTAAAGTGAATCTGGAGGATAAAATTAAAGTTGAAAATGAAGTAAGAGATGAACTTAAATTAAAAACTATTGAATTAGAACATGCTATGTCTCATGAAATTAACTATCAAACTAAGATAGAAAGTATGGAGAATGAATTAAAAACAAATGCTGTTATATTAGACCAACTTAAGTCTGATTTAGACATGAAATCAAATTTACTTTCCCAATTAGAAAAAGTAAATTCTGAATTAGTTAAAAAATGTGATAAAATTAATGAAATTATGTTAAACAACATAAAAGATAATGAACTAACTTATATAGATATTAAAAGTCAATTACAACAAGTTCTCCAAGAAAAATCTTTAATTCAAACGGATTTGAATCTGATTAGTCAAAAGTATATGGAATTGTCAAAACACCATGATGAGACAAAAGATATTTTAGAAAATAAAGTACAATTACAAGTACTAAATTACCATAGTTTATATACAGAATTTGTAAATTTGTCTTGTGATATTGAATCGTTATTAAAACATAAATCCGTTGAAGAATCTAATTTGAGGGAAGAAATTTTACTAAAATCCACAGAGCTTGAACATTTACAAAAACAAGTACTAGAGTCCAGTTTACAACAGGAATATGAGAGATTAGAGGAAGAATATATGTTAAGATCTCGTGAATGAGATGAAGCAAGAGAAAAAATAATAAATTTTGAATCAATATTATCAAGAAATGAAGAATCTGAAAAAATTCTTCGAAATAATTTAGAATCTAAATGTATTGCATTGGAAGAATATAAGAAAAATGTTGAATTTTTGTTTTCGAGAAATGATTCATTTCAAATCAGGGTTAATGATTTTGAAGATAATGTTTTAGTGGATTTAAATGACGAATTCGATTTAATGAAATCGGAATTGTTAAAAAAAACAGAATACGAAAAAGTGTTAATTGAGGAAAAAGCAAATCTTGAGTGTAACTTGGACAGACTTCAAGAAAAGCTAACCAATGTCACTAAAGAAATGGAACTTAGCGAAGAACGATGTGAAGATTTGGCTTCAATTATTAATGTTTTAGTAATTGAAATAAAGGATGCAAATTCTGCTAAACAAAATTTAGAGACTTGTTTGAATGAAGCTGAATATGAATTAATAAAGTCTGGAGATTTCTGTGAAAATCTTAAATTTGAATTATATAGCGTTCAAAGAGAATTAGAAAATGCATGCATCAATGCTGAACGAGTAGAAAAAGAATTACAAAATCTCAAATTTAAATTTGGTGAAAAAATTGATAAAAATGACTTGAATGGTCGTGATGTGAGAAATCAATTAATTGATCCACTTGTAGATTATGTGCATGATATTAAATTGAAACTCACTGAGCTCAATTCTGCAATAATATCAGGAAACCAAAGTGAAAAACGGTTTAGAACTAAAGTTATGTCTGTCGAAGATGATATTTTAGCACATGAAGAGTCATTAAAGATAAACAGTGACTCGCAACCTGATACTCTTGATATTGACATTGGCTTAGAAATTGATAATTTACATAAGATATTAAATGAAAAAAATGATTTGATCAACTGTCTCCAAACAGCCAAAAATGATATGGAAAAAAAAATTGATGAACTTCAATGCCAAATGAAAAAACAATGTGATGAAATTAATAAATATGTTAATGATATAACTTTGGTAGAAAATGATTTAAAAGAAAAAACGTTAATGGTTATAAATTTGAACGATGAATTGAATGAAGTTAAACTATTAAATGCTGAACTAAAAGAACAAATTAATGAACCACAAGATCAAATTATTAAATTATCTGATGAAAATGAAAAAATGATAAGTGATATAACATTAATGGAAAACAATCTAAAAGAAAAAACATCACTGGTAAGCAATTTAAGAAATGAATTGAATGAACTTAAAATACAATACAATAAACTTGAAGAACATAACCAGGCTAATAAAGAACAAATTTATTATAGCTATGATATTGATTCAGAGTTGAGAAATGGTAAAAGAAATATAATAAACGAGATAAATCTTCTTGAACCTGGAAAAATCACAGGTGTTCTCACTGATCATAATTTGTCAAATTTATTGGATATGTTTGTCAGCCTCATAATGTCAAAAGAACAACAAATTGTAACTGACTTAGTTAATGATCACAAAAAGATCAAACAATTATATGAAGATCAAATCAAACAGTTTCAAGAAGACATTAAAAAAGGGAAAGAATGGCAAGAACAAGTTGAAAATGATAATGAAAAACTTGGCATCGAACTTGAAAATCTCAAATCTCAAAAACACAACTTCCCTTGTAGAGAATTAAAAATAAAAGAACTGACAGAAAAAGTTTTGGAAGCAGAGAATTTATCTTTTAACTATCTAAATGAGTTGGAAGAATTAAAAGCTCAACTTACTAAAACAAATGAACACAATTATCAGTTATTGTCAGATGAATTTGAAGCATTTAAGACGAGTTCAGAGTTGTCCATTCAAGATTTGAAAAATAAACTTGAAAATCTAACCAAACAATATGACGAATCATTAATAATGTGCAAAGATCAGAAAGATTATCGTTTTAGTCTGGAAGATAAAATAGAAAAAATTCAATCAGAATGTGCTTATTTAAAATCTGTTATTGACAAAAAAGATGAAGATATTAAAAATTTACTTGATGGATTTCAATTGAAGACAAATGAGTATGAAACATTGATAGAGAACTATAGTTTACAAAAAGAAGAAACAAAAATTCATCATGAAAAGATGATCAATGAACTTGAGTCGGAAGTAAGTAATATCAAACATCAAATGTATTGTACAGAAAAGTTGCTAAAAGAAATAAAAAAAAATAACGAACAACTTCTTGAAGAGAATTCATTAAATTTATCAAAAATTAAACATTTGCAAGAAAATTATAATTCTGCTGTTCAAATTGCAGAATTAGAGGGTGGTAGTCAAATAACTAAAATTAACAATACAAAGTTTGAAAATCTTGAAAAAGAGTTAAATGTAAAGAATAAAGAACTTGAAAGGCTAGAATTAGATTTGAGGTTAAAAACCACAAAACTCGAGGAAACTGAAGAACAATGTTCAAAACTAGTTCATGCTCTCGAGACTCATAAAGTAAAAAATAATGAATTTGAAAAACAATTAGAAAGTTATTCAAAGACTTCAAAGATAAAAGATGACAAAATTGAAAATTATCAAATTCAATTGAAAATGAATGAAAATAGTTTACTTGAAGTCAATAATGTAACTGAAAAATTAAGAAAAATACTTAAGTGCGATGGAACATTATCGACACTCTACGACAATGTCTGTTTATTGATAACCAAATGTGAAGACTTGGAAGAAGAAAGTAATGAACTCAAACAGTCTAATGCCGACCTAGACAATGAATGTGAGTCTATGTTAGAAGAAGTAAAGAATAAAGACGATAAGATAGCAGAACTTTTGACTCAATTGGATGAGCTTAAGCAGAACATTGTATTATTAACAGAAGAAAGAGATTTTTTGAAAAGCAAAAGTGAACAATTGAAAAGCTTTAATGATGATGTAAAAAAATTAAATGAAGAAATATATGGTTATGAACAAAACATATATGAACTTAGAAAAGACAAAGGTCAGCTTATTGTACAACACGATAAAGAACTGAAGCAATTGAAAAATGAATTAAATCAAGTTCAAGCTAAAAACTTGGAACTATCAAATGAGTACAGTCAATTATCAGGTATGGGAAACTTTAGGTGTTAGCAAAAAATTATAGATTATATATTGTTTCTATTTATTTATTCATTTACAGAAACTGCTAAAATGTTGGAAAAATCATTGAAGGAAGACATACAACAGTTGAATAGGTGTATTGTGGATAAGAATGCAAAAATATCCACATTAGAACTGTTTTCCAAAACTAACACTGACGATCTCAAAAAGAAGAATCATGAATTGGAAAATATCTTTAAAAGGGCAAGAGATGAGGTAACATTGTTCAATAAGTTATTTTGGTGTACTATTTAGATCTTATGTATATAAAATTGTTATGCCTGTGTTGTGTATTCAACATACGTGCATACGTGATCAATTTTATTTGATAATTAAATTTTAATTTAACAATATTAATGAAGCATACATTTATTTATTCCATATACATTTAATATAATTCTATTTATATATTTACAGAATAATATGTTGCGCAGAGAATTACGCCGTTTGAAAGAAATCACAAATGTAACTAGAGTGGATCAATGTACTCAAACTGCTGAAGAACAGAGCTTAGTGAGTAGTGCAATAGTAAGTTAAAACAATCTAAAAAGTTTTCTTTTAGTTTTGAAAATAGTTTAGACAGTATTATTACTATTTATTCACATTCCAATTATTTTCATATTTCTTTAGATGGCCGACCACAAAAGTATGATTGAAAAAATTGCTAAATTTGAGAAGGATAGTAAAATGATGAAAATGATGTTACATCATCGTAAAGCTAAAATCGAAGAACTTGAAAAGCAACTAAATGAAAAAAAATGTTAAATTTAATTTAAAATCTGTTTAGTGTCAACTCTACAGTTAAATATTTATATTTATAATTTTTATACTTCATTTATTTATAAGGTATTAAAATTATTCAATGTTCATTTGTATAACTGTCTATTTTAAGTATTGAATTATATTTCGTTCTATATTATATATTATAAAACTTTAACCCGTTAGTACATTGCTAGGTTCCATATATAATATAAACAATTTGTGTTGTAATTAAAGGAAAAATATATTTATTTATAGTTTTTCATTTTTTGAGAGGGTGGGTAGACTTAAAATTAAATACATTAATTTTATAGTGTTACACCATAATTTTGTGAGATTATAATGTCGATGAATAGTCAACAAATAAAAAATGTTGGTACTTGTTAAATATTTTATAAGTTTGTCGGTCGTCTGTTGTAAATAAAAAATGCTTTCTATCATTTAAGTTGTTATTAAATCATTTAGAAATAAAAACATTTAACACTATATAATCTTGAACTGTCGATGTCTAATTTAAAACTAATTTTTAATACTATAGATTAAGAGTTGTGTTTAAGTAAATTCTAAATTATTTAAATTAGTTTGTAAATTTTCATTTATATCTTCATAACTTTATTTTATAGTCTTTTATATTTACATGCGCATGCTAATAAAACAATGTCATGAGTTTATGTACATTTAATTTGTTTGTTAACTACTAATCTAAGTTGAATTTGAGTTATACCGACAGAATACGCATTCAGAATCTTGTTTACCAAAAGCATTTATATAAGAACATTAAACATTGGAATGAAATTAGTTAATATTCCATCAATATATTATAAAATATACATAATTCTAAGCATCACAAATATTTACAAGTTGAAACTCAATTTGGATTTTCCAAAAAAATAACACTATTAGTGAATGTTAAATTTTTTTAAGTCTAGTCTTAACTCACTTCACTTTTATCCTTCTTATCCAAGGCCGTAACTAGAAATTAATTTGGGGGGGGGGGTTAAGTTAAAAAAATGTATTCTAATTTTATTATAATATTTGAATTCCGTTGTAGTAATCAACCTACCGAGATCATTGATGTCAGTTCAGTCCACTTAGTATTAGGTAGAATATTTTTTATTTTAGTTTTTAATATATTAATATATAACTATTTTGCTACCATATAATGTAACCCGAAAAAATTTCAGGGGGGGTTGACCCCCCTCCCCCCAGATACGGCCTTGTTCTTACCATCATAATATACTATAATATGGATAGGCCTGACATGCATAATATTGCATACCCCGTATCGGTACCGATTGCCATAGAAAACAAATACCTGCCGATTGCTTACCAATTTATTATTTTGTGCCATAGAGGAAATAATATGAAAATTCTATATCCGCCCTTTACATAATCATAGATTGGTGACAACTGACAACCACACAGACGACAGACTTCTTTACGTACCACACATAATCACGTATTCACGTCTATGGTATTATCACAAAATATGTCCTGTGCCTCTGACTCTGTGGCATACTCGCGGTCGTTAGCAGAAGACAGAAAACACCAACGCCGCTGCCGAGGTTAATTTTAATACAATATAAACCTTGCGTCGTTTCAGCAGCAGCGCTTTGCTGTCGTACCCATAGACCTCATACCACGGCCTAAGATCCGTGTCTTACACCTATGCTCAGTACAGGCCACAGGGTGGACTTGGCTCTGTATAAGCACAGAATAATGGTTTATGGCCTAATGGGTCGCACCACAATTATATAATAGATGATAAATGTCGCCTATTCTGTGGCTTAGATTTATGATTGTGTATGATCACAGTATGATCAGCTAACTCCAGCAGCTGTGGTGGCACGATTATAGATTATATTGTTATCAACACCGAGTAAATGAATGTTAAATTAGCGATAATGTGGATATCATATTCTTATCACAAATCACAATCACACACCATCGTATTTTTTACAGTTTAATATGAGTGTCATTCCCTAAGGCCTACGTTCGTTATTTAATAGTTACATCAACAATTCTTGCCATCTTCCTACCGAACAGGTCGTTTGTTCGGATGAAGTATCGAATACTTCCCGAAGTCGTCGCTCGCCGTGCCCAAGTGTGGAAACATGGCGTCTCCCCCGTCGTGGGAAGGTATAATAATATATATTATAAATCCACTAGGTTTCGTTCATGAAGTTTGGCTTATGGAGTGCCATTTCTTCGGTGGTTGAATGACGCAGAACACTAATTGATTATCTGTTCAATTGAACTTTGATGGTTAATGCCAAAATACCTATAGGTTCTTTAGTTGTTTTCTATAGAGAAGTCCAAGTACAAAAGAAAATTTTAAGCTCCTATGGATATAAAATATTTCAATGAAAAACACTCCCAAATTCAATTGTTTTTACTCTCTAGGTAGCCAGAATAATAAATGCGAAATGAGTTTAAAATTCATCATAATATATGCTGCTAAAAAAAAAAATATTATTTATATTTTAATCATTATTTTTCGCAGATTTGAGGAAACAAGCCAGAAGGCTGGAAACAGAAATCGACTCAATGTTGGTGTCGTTAAGTAAAATAAGTACTAATAATCCTATGATGTACAGTGATGATGAATCACAGTTGTTGTTGTCTGATGATCGATTTGAAACAGCCACATCTGAAATCGAAGAGCTGCTGTCTAAGGTAAAACTCCCTTTAAACAAATATACACAATATTATTTGTTCGTGGCTTTTTAGCTTAATACTGTCAATGAAAAAATGAGCGAATGGAGTTCCAATGGGGAACAATCTACAGTTTCACAAAACGTGCATACTGTTCAGCGTCACAGAGATATTTTACAGGATTATACTAAAGAGTTTCAAAAAATACAATCCAATGTTAGAGCTCGGAGGGAAAGAGAAGATTTATTGCACAGTGTTCGGCAGGACATTGAGTAAATATATAATATTCTATACACATCTGAATGCATAGATTGAGTAATTTTTTTTTCAGTGGCTATAAGAATTCTGGGACCAAAAACCGGCGTATGGATTTATATGTCAAAGAACACGAACATGTGCGTAATTCAGATCGTTTAGTATCCGATCAGATTGCAATTGCTATGGAAACCAGAGAACATTTAGTGTCACAGCGGCATCATTTTAAACGTTTACAATCTAGACTTCACGATTTGTCAAGTAGATTTCCTGCTCTCAACACCCTTGTACAAAAAATTAACATGCGAAAAAAACGCGATTCCTTTATTGTAGGAGCAGTTGTTGTTATATGTACTTTTATAATACTTTTGTACACTTTTCATTAGATAGATATTCACATCAATGGTTAATATAATCAACCACCAATTAATTATATACATGGGTATTAATACGAATTTTGTTTTAAAATAATTACAAAGATAAATTTATTTTACTTATATTATATATTTTGTTTAATTATATTTAATTATAACATTATTCTTAGTAAATAAAAAATTGACATTTCATTCCAGTAGTCTAAAAATCATAGGGCAGAGCTTTGATCTCGCTCTGGCATTCATCATATAAATCTGAATAGTTTTCATGTTTTCTGATAAGTACCATGACTGCAGATCGTTTAACACCCATTGATGAACCCAAGTCATCACGCGAAGGCACATAACAGTAAGGCAGATTTTTCGTCTCGCACACACCAGGCATATGACTCATAATATCAATTGGTGAAACATCACCAGCAAAAATTACTAACCCTGTTTCTTCTCTCCGGACTCTTCGTTGCACTTCTTTCAAACCGACTCTTAAATAAGTCTTTTCTTTATGTGCTATAATAAAAATACACTGTTAATAATTATTTATAACAAATGCATGCATTATTCAGTAATTAACATAAACTGCACACTAAAAATAATGTATTATGATAGTTTTACAACTAATTTAAAGCATTCAGCTAAAATTGTATTTTCATGGGGATTAGTGGACAGCATTTTGCAGGGTACGCTTACCCTTGTATCACTTGACTCCGCTCATTAAAAATGTAAATGCTTACAAGACCAGTTACAACTACTAACAAACCATCTACTTATCCAACAATTTTATACACCAAAAGACTCCAATTAATACTCTGCTTAGAAAAATTGCTAAATGAATGGTGTAATTCGATAAACTAAAAAATTGTAAAAAAAGTAGGTATTTTAGAAATGATGACTGTAGACTGTACACACTTAAATAAATGGATCACCCTGTATAAGCTACTAATTTTACACATATTGCCAAGATTACAAATCGTAAAAACACTTATTTTAGATTTTGTTAATAATTTAAATAGTTAATAAGATTTAAATAATATTGGTGATAGAAAGCTTATCAATTTTTAGGCCAGCGGGGGAGCGGGCTTGTAACGGGGCTCGTGGAAAAATAAGACACTCATTATACACAACGACCCTCTTACAGCTTATCGCTTTCTATTGCCAATACAGTACCTATGTCTAAATAAACACTATCATGCAATTTTCATTAATGAGTGTATATTTTTCCACAATTGACATTATGAAAACACTGAGGCAAAGTTAACTCTCTCTCTCTATGCACTGTGGTTTCTTAGATGAATGACCACCAAGATCCTCATGATCCAAATGTCACAACTGAGGTAACCATAGGGAGCTACTTCCCACTAAGGTGGTTTAACATAACAAATTGAAGGAATATTTGTTTTTTTTTTGTCCGAGAGCAGCACAGGAAGTGGCCACAAAGGCATCACTAAAATTTTGATTTTAACCGGATGATAACATTGGTAACTAAATGGACCTAGTTAACCACAGGGGATCAAGGTAATAAGTCACCCTTATATTATACCACTGAATTACAATATTTGATTATTTTTTATCAAAGATCTCAGCTAAAACGGTATTATACAATCAGAAACAGCCAAAAATTAATTTAATTGTGTTGTTCAAAAAAAAATTAGATACTAAAAACTCTGGTGCTGTCAGTTTTGATATTAGGTACACCGAGTTTAACTATTATAAACATTAAAGGTAGCATTATTATCTGTTTTTTCTTGTTGGTTTTTTAATAAAATTTAAATTTTAAAGTGAGTTACCTATAGTATAGTAATAACTATGGCTCGGATTTGTATGAAAATGCTTATCTTCTACAATTCACCTAGAATAATTTTGATAATAAATTTCGACATTTCATAATGTGTAAATTATATGGTTAATTTTTTTTTTAACATATTTTTACTTATTTGAATGAAAATGCATATTAATTGCTTATTTCTGGATAGTTGCATAAATATTGAATATTCTACTACTACAATAATAATAATGATTATCAATAAATGGCGAGGTAACAGAATGTGACTAAAACGTAACAAAAATCGATTTCTATTAATTCATGCTGGTGCTTGTTCTATAATAATTGAACATAAATAGTATGATACTTTTAAATACAATTTCATAAAAATAATATTATTCAGAATTTTAAAATAATAATTGTATGTATAACTAATACTTTAATTAATTTATAACACTTTTATACTTAAATCACTGTAATAAATGTTTCATCTTTAATTTTTTTAATAAACTTTTTTGTACATATATTTAGATTGTGTTATATTTTTGTAAAAAAATAATTTTGCATATTTAATAGATATGTATAGCATATAAATCCAGGCCCTAGTAATAACTAATAAGTATGTTAGGTACATAGAATATTAAAATTTTAAATACTCATAACTCGCTTTAGAAATAAAAATGAAATAAACACCAAGAGAACATAGATAATATCATTAAATGTAAATTGGAATTTTTTTGTTTTACCAGACACCTTTTTTTTTGTTATAATGTAGGTATGACATAGTTAATTATAGTGAGAAAAAAAACAGTAAGTCAGAAATTGGCAGTTGGACTTTACTTATAGTATGTATTTTCACACGCCTGGCATGGTAACTCGCTCGAAAAAAATAGAAAACATTCTAGACTTGTTATGTAAAACTCTTTGTAAAACCACCTTGAGAGGATATCAGTTACAACAAAATTATTAAAAGTACATATAGGTATACTCAGAGTGGTCGCTAGCTCAGGCAATTAAAATCAAAAACACCACTAGACTCGTTATGTATAAGCTTCTTGAGAGGGTCTCATACTTCAAATGGCTATAACTTCAAAACTAAATCTGACCGCCAAATTTTGATCTCACCATTGTTTTCAGCATGTTTAAACAAAAAAAAAAGATGTCCAGTAAAGTAGAAATAAACCTTTAAAAATATAATAACTACATTTACTGTAATATTAGAATAATGTAAAATTGATTGAGCTGCCTACATCGTATTCTCTTAGAACCACGCAAAATAATACAAAAGGTACAGTTTCATATCATGATACTTTTGTAATATTTAGTAAATGAAATAATCATCATTTTTTTTTTGGAAATTATTAATATTAGAAGTTAGTTAGGACTAGTAAGGATTAACTATGGACTTAGGGTAGTTTCTAAAGTATAAAAATTAACATGTTGGATTATCTATAACACCTATTTGCATTTTTGTTTAATTGTTGATTAAGTTAAGTAGTACAAACCTTTCTTAACGAGTTTATAAATCTTTTTGGTAAGTGCCTTGGTTGCTAGAGGCTTGGCGATTTCGTTGAGATACTTGATTCTCGTTGAGTACGAAACTTTTTTGCCGGTTGGATCAGTCACACTTGCGACGCTTGTGTCTGCGGTCATATTGGAATTGTGCGTTTGTCTTTGAATAAATGTTTACCGAGTAGTAACTGACGAAGTGCCGTCTTCTTTTTTGGTGATCTACAGAACGCGTGAAACTGAGAATACTGTTTACTGTTTGGTGTTTAAGGTTATTTGTTCTGATCAGTCGGCACTGTCTTGGCGCACGTGGGTGAATTGGTTGATAAGAGCGAGAACCATGAAATGATAATAAAATAACAAAATAAAATAACCACGTAATTAATTTAACAGCATCTAGGCTTGAATTATAGATCACAATCACGATTTAAGATAATAAGATATGGTAAATCTTAAATAGTGGCCAAAATTATTAGTTTATAACATTTTATTTATACTTCTATAGCACGATTTAAGATAGTAAATCGTTGTCTAGACTTCTAGAGCAAGAATGTCTTTGAGAGAACAACAAGTATTAGGGGAGAACTTTCGTCTTAACTAAACTATTAGCAAAAAAGGTCATATTTACACTATAAGTTGGCTAAATCGGATGACTATTGCCCTCAGCCGTGGACTGTAAAAAATGCGTATCTGATTTGATCAATATTCGATGACCAGTATTTTGTATTCGATATTTCGATTAAATTGCACTCATGACAAACTATCTTTTATGTCATGCCTGCACTGTGAACACTCGTGTGCTCTTTATCACGAACGACACGAACCAAGATATATCTCACTACGATCACAAAATATTATTCTGTGTTACGATGCTCCTTATGCACCGCCAATTTTGTGAGTGTTCAAACCACAGATATTATATTATAAAATATATTTTTATATTGTCTGTGGCCCATACTGATTACCATGTTATTTATAATCAGTGTCCAGTGAACTCTATTTCTCCATTACGATGTCCAATATTTTGTTTTCTCATTTGATTTAAAAAATAGTGGTGTGAGACAAGTGCATAACTCGTGTAGTGATAGAAATACTTAGTGTACGGTGCAATTATAAACCTTAAAAATCAAAAACGCTTCAAGTTCCCAGTACAAACATTACCTACTAATTAATAACTTATTTACATAATAGCTAAAGTGAATTCCACCTTGGTGGCTTGGTATTAACAATTATTAATGTGGGATATTCTAAAAATTAGCTGAGCTAAACCAATTTTTTTTATTTTTTTAATATAATTATGTAACTATAAGTCTACCATAATTGTTGAGCTATAATAGTTTCGCGCTAGCAGCTAATAATAATAAAATAAAAAAAATAAAAAAAAAAACTATAAGTTTGTTTAGTATAGATAGTAGGTACGATTTTAATTATTATGAACAAATGATTTTAAAATAGGTAAAATAAAATTTATCTTACTGGCCATTCTTCAAATAAAAATAGTAATACCATAAAAAATATTTGACTATTTTTTTTTTTGTTTAAGCAGCTAAAATAAAATTGAATGTGCTTTCAAGGACATTTTAATTTGTAATATGTAATTTATTTCAATATCTTACAAAAAATAGATTTCATAAGACTTAGTAAATATATCAAATTTAAAATATTAATAAGCTTTAAGCAATGATTCAAAGGTATTAATTGTCAAGTCAACAAAACTTCCTCCAAAATGATTCCTAAAACAAAAATTATAAATTATAAAAAATATTAATTTATTCATAACATGTAATAATTAATAATATAATTATATATTCATACCAATGATTTAAATAATGAAACAAATGATATAATAACTTTCTATTTTCAAACCCATTAGATTTTGGTATTTTTTTAAAATAAGCTTCAAAAAAATCTTTAGAAATACCTCCAAATAATGAAATGGAAGCAATATCATATTCATGATGCCCATAAAATGTAGCTGGATCGAAAATCACTACAAACAGTATAAACACACATTATACCATTGATTATAAATACTATTTATAATCAATGATTATACTAATAAAGTGAAAGAGACTAAAGACATTCATTAAAACAGTGGATACTTATATACTCTGGCCCATGAGAGAAATTTATCTTTTCACGCATACACACTGACGGCAAATACCAGTCTGAGTATGTATGTGAAGAATTGGGATACATTTTGGGTCAGGACTTGGTAATTTTCCTTGATGGGCCAGAGTATAAGTGTATATCAGTCACCCACTATTAAATTCTTAACCTGGTTTAGAATTTGATTGCGCAGTATTTCCTGGCCACAAGTCTCCATGAAGTAATGATGGCTTAACTTCTATCCCTTCGAAGAATTTGGGAATTATATGTTTCAGTTGAGGCCAATAATTTTCTATGATTTTCTGTTTAAAATAATATTAGTACCTATAATATACTTATAATTTTTAAGAGTTACTTTTTTTTTTAAACTGTTTTCTGGATTTGATTGCAGCAACTGTATTTGATGCTTTAAACGATTTTCTGTATAGAATGTCTGTAAAGTATATCTGAATAGTATTAACAGCATTTTAAAACAACTATTAAAATAATATCTATTTTTATACAATCCAATCATCAGTCCATGTATTATTTTGGGGTAAAAATCCACAACATGTTTCAACATGAAATCCAAATTTGTTTATAAGTGGTTGAGTCTCTTGTAAATTAAACATATGCATATCTGCCAATTGACTACCTAATTCCGATGAACATTTTCTATTTAGAGAATTCATTTTCCAATAGTCCATCACAATAAAGTGTTGACCACTATTTGTGCAACCAGTGGCAATTGGACAAGGAGCTGAAATTGTATTTGTACTACATATTGCTTTAAGGCCTTCTAATTCACCATTGAACATCTTATCTGACTGTAATTATAAGTAGATATAAGTAATATATTGGAAAAATGTAATGTTTTTAAAGTTTAAAGAAAGCGCTGTTATACCCCTGGTTTTGAGTTGTCTTTAACAAATAATAATTTATCATCTTTTGTTTGATAAACTGAACCATTATTAATACAGCCTTCATTTATACATACATTCAATTTTGTTATGCTGGTGTTAAGTATATTTTCTAATTCATTTTCCATTTCAATATATTAAAATTTTGCTAGGCGTTAGTAAATAAAAAAATTAATATATTTAAAAATATGGACGTTTAATTAAAACTTGAGATTACAACAATACAACCACAGATAATAATTACAAAAATACTTAATAAAAAATATTTTTATCTTATAACATGCATCTGTATTCTGTGATCCATCTACGTCAAGTGGTCAGTGGTCACTCGTCAATGTTCTAACCTTAGAATATAGAAACATAAAAATGCAGGTAATAAATAATAGTTAATAAACTTAAAAAAAGTTCTAACTTTATAGTCAAACATTCTCAAACAACAGCTGATCCACAGAAAAGTTTGTGGATCGTACAGTGTGACCTCGGGAAACAAAACATTTTATAATGGTGGGCGGGGTCGACAAAGGACGACGCCATTTTGTCGATCCGTGTTGAAACTTGCAGGCTATAGGCAATTGGCAGGGAGTGTGGGAGAGAGGAATTGACAGACTTCCGAGTTTCCTAGTTTTGATGTCGCATAGGCCGTAGGTACTCACAAGTCCCAAAGATTTTTCTGTTTTCCGTCAGTTTCTACTGACAAATTAATCTTTGTCATTTTCGTTCACACGGTTCTTCGTCTGTGCTCCGTCTTGTGACGCGTCGTCTACGCGATGGTCTGAGGTCCATCTGAAAGTCAGTCGATTGATATTTTCATTGTTTCTTTGTTTTTTTAATTTCGTCTGATAAGTGACGGACGGTGGACGATCGAACGACGAGCATCACTTAAGATGGAAAGTCTGTGCAACTACGCCAGTGACGATGACAACAGCCCGACTACTCCTAGTCCCCAGAGGGAAGTCACCGTAAGTTAATTTTTCTTTAAAAGTCTACTATCCAGTTACAATTGTATAATTCATGACGTCAAGTGTTCCAATATTAATAAATAAAAAGTATACTCATAAATGTCTTGGTCATATTGTTTACTTAAATTGCTACACCTTCAGGCTATAATTAATTAACCAACTAATTACGACTTAAATGGCAATTTACATAATATAGGTATGTGTTTACTGTTATCAGCCGCTGTCTGCGTCTTAATTGGGAAGACTACTACATTGAGTATTTAAAATAATATTAATTATTTTACTTGTGGTTTATTACTTACAACCATAAAAGTTTTGATAATTTTAAAAATAAAATAAAAATAAAACATTAAGTAACTAACCAATTCAAATTTATCTATTCGTGCCTAAATAAATTTATATCACACCTTATTAAATATTTTTAGACTAAACTTACCAGAACTAATGGAATGGAAGCTGATGCAAATTATGAACAAGTTACCATGGATATGAGTGAGGTATGGATAAGTACAACATTAATCTATTCCGATTAATGTTAGTTAAGGCATTTACATTACTGTTAAGATAATTAGGTAGATAAATTTCTATATTTTTAACATTTAAACTATTGCTTATACTTAACCTATAACGTTGTGAAGAATATATTTTTTTAGATTTTAAGTGTGTATGATTTGTCATTAAAATCAGTTATTTCCGGACAGACTTTAAAAATATAATATTTAATGGTCTCTATTACATTTTCTAAATAGGTATATTTTTTTATTTAGTTCAGAATAAGAACAGATGGCTTAAACTATTTTCTTATTTTAAGTAGTTTTTACTACACCCATGTACCTACCATCTAAATTGTATTATTTGATAACATACACAACTATATTCAAAATTAAAATGAATAGTACTCTGGTAAATACTTTTTCTACTGTTAATTTAATTTTTAAAAGTTTCAAACTTTTGTTTCCTTATCATAATAAAACTTTTTAAGAATATAGTAAAGTGGTACTTATATATTGTTATAAATGTAGTACTTTCATAATAATTGTATTTACATTTTCATGACAATGATGTTAAAATTTATTCTGGCTCACAAAGATTAATTAAACAATTAAAAGATTATAGTTACATATCTTAATTTCGTACATTTTATTTCCACTAAATCCTCATTATGATATTTTTGTTTTCATTCTGAAGATTTTATTAAAGAGACCAGCCATTCAGTATGATTACACAAGTCGTCCTGGTTAAATTCATATTACCAAAACTGAAGGTGGGTAAAACATATTTTGATGTAGGCTATACAAAAAAAAAAATTAAGTAAGCTAATTCAATTCTAAAAAAAGTAAATTCCGGTTAAAACCAATATTAACACGAAATTGTTCTGAAATTATATATAAAATAGTCCACGAGTAGTCAATCGACTGTGGGAGAGTCTCTTGCCACTGATTCTTTGCGCCGCTTGAAGAGGAATATTGAATGCGGCTGATTATCAATACTGTACATTCACATTGGTGAGTAATAACGAAAACAATCAGGTAAACCCTTTCCCGCTAGACGTCATTCTCTGTGAGCTGTGGCCTTGAAGAAGGTATATTTTTTATTTATCTTTAACTGTTAGGTGTTAATTATTAATTTAAAACACGAATATTGACTATCTTTTTACTTTTTTCAACATATTCATATTTTTAATTATTAAATTATATATCATCAATTATATATTTACATATTTAAACATAATTGACTGATGATAAAACAAATATGTCTAACATAATTTAAAAAATATTGTTGTATATTTTTTAATCTAATAATTGATTTAGTTCTATATTTTCAGCAGGAATCAAATCATAGCTCAACAAAATCTCCTCCACTTAAAAGTCGAACTTCACCTTCTAGTTCAGCATCATCCCCTATTTCTGTTTCGCAAACCTCGAGATCACGTCATACCAACAAACATGGAAACCATAGTGATACAAAAACAAGTAGTTCTGATGAAGAAAAAAAAAGTCATATCCGCCATAGAAGGTATATATTTTTTTTGTCACTTACATATTTTAAAATCAATTTATTATTGTTATTATATATATATTTATGTGTACATATAAATTAGAAATAAATCAAGGGATCGTCATAGCAAAAAACATTCTCATCGGTCAAGGAGTCGCAGTAGTGGTAGAAAACGTTCACGGCGATCTCGTAGTCATAGTCGTAACAAAAAACGATCACGTCGATCACGCAGTCGAAGTGAAAGGTATGTGTGTATCACTTAACTAAAAACAGTATATTTACCAAGGGATTAAAACATTAAATATTAACTATAATTTTGTTGTTTCCGATAAAGAAATGGTAGTAGCCGGAGATCCAGTCCTCACTCTAGACATGAAACAAAGAATCACAATAAACACAGTCGTTCTAATAGTAAAGAAAAATATACATCATCACATAATTATTTCTTAGAAAAGAAGGCTAATAATAAACGGCAAAGTAATTAGTTTTTTAGTTGAATTTAATTTAAATAAAAAAAAACCTGTATTTTATTAATGATTATTATTTAGTTTTAGATAAATTGGGAATTGAATTAAAAGTTCCTACAATTGGAAGTTCTGTACTACCATCAACCACAACGGTCACCCCTCAACTACTGCTACAAAAATCAATGGAAGCACAAGTTGAAAAAGTGAAAGTACAAACAGGCATAGAGTTACCGTCTTATTATAATCCAGTAGCTGTAAACCCTAACAAATATGCTGAACAGATTCAAAAACGTAAACTTTTATGGGGAAATAAACAAAACAATGAGGTTGTTAAACAAATTGAAGAAGCTAAACCACCTGTAATAACTAACAACAAGACTGCAACCATTTGGCAGTCCACAAAATTTGGGGATCAGGATGGAAAAGTCACTGCCAAGTTTAAAAGGCTAATGGGCATCAAAGACAATGGGATAGGTAGTCAATTATTACCAACTATATTATTATTTTTTTTTAACAAATTAATTTTTAACATATAGGTGTCGATAATCAAACATCTCAGCAAGGACAATCAAAAGACATTATTAAAAAACAAGAAGAAATGTTTAACTCAATGGAAAGTCAATATGAAGTTGCTCGCATGGCAACACATACTCACCGAGGGCTGGGTCTTGGTTTTGGTACATTTCAACAGCGGTAGATCTTATCTTAAAACATTTAAATAAATATTGTACATTGAAACACCACTATTAGTATTTAATTTTAGATTTCTTAATCTGGAATCTTTTGTATATTTTACACTTATCATATTTATGTTTTATTTAAATACATAACATAATTTTGTTGTTGATATTATATTATTAGCCTCTTTAAATTCATTATAATTCCATATGAGACCGTTTGTTTGTTTCATTTTGTTCATCCCCGTAATAGTGTTTCTTGATTAAGAGTGCAACATTTTTTGCTCCAATACAACTCATTTCCATGGCACTTGCGGTCCACTCAATGGCGTTTATGTGATACAGCCTATCAGCTATGTGAAAACTTTGTGTTTCTGTTGGGACTTTATAATGAGGATATGCTAACCAATCTACAACTTTAACATCACTTACATTTTCAAATAAATAGTCTATTTGATTGCTAGAAAGTGGATGTTGAGAAAATATTTTCCAAACATTTAAACTGGCAGTTTCATTAACTCCTTCAACATTACTGATTGAATTGAAAAATTCATTTTCGTTGTTTGATATAATTGTAATTGGTATAAGATCATCAGAAATGGGAGTAAATTTTGTTCTTTTCATCTCGCCAACAACCAATGTACTTACTGTTTGGTGGTATTTACCAACTTTGTTCAATTCTAATAGCATGTTAGAAAAAGTGATGGGTACTTTCTGATTTTCTGCAAGAGGTGCAGCAAACACAACATAATCGTAAGTTGCTTTCTTTTTGAAATTGGTCAACAATGTATATGAATCATTGTTTCTAGATATTTGGACAACATATTCAGGCACTAAATGTGCATTGGACTTTTCAAGAAGTTTTTCGACAACTCTTTTGTTACCTCCTTTTACTGACCATAATGATCCATCCATTCCAGCCATAGACACTGATCCTGTATTAAAATTATCAACATAAGTGTGTTGCAGAATATTACATCTTATATTTTCATTTAATTATTAAACGTCCAATACATTTATAAAATGAAATATAAAATTTAAATAACCTATTCTTATTAAGTCCACGGCATAGGCATATTTAAGAACTTAAATCTAAATGACTATTTTTTTTTTGAATTAATGTGAACCTCATGATACCCCCAGGAAATTTACATTTTAACTATTTTTTTTTAGAAATATATTATGATGTACAATTATTTAAACTAAATGAAACAAAACTAAGTTTGAAAAATAGTTGTTGTGTTCAAAAATTCTTACCAACAAATTCATGAACATTGGTATTTTGTCCATAGTTCACTCTAAGGGACGCCTGAACAAGTTCAGTGATTAAAGCCTCAGAAAAATGTTCCTCTTTCAAGTATGCATCTCTCACTGATATATTTAGATAGTTGACAAATGAAGGATCCATTGCTTTGAGTAAGTCATACGTAGAATCAAAACTTACGCCATTGGCCTGTAGTTCATATATTCTAAAAAGACAATCATTTTTTTTTAAGCAATTATTAAATTTTAATGTTATTTATATTTTTCTGACCTTTCAAACTTGTCAAGCATACTGTTAATAAATTCTTGCAAACGTTTAATGCTGTAACCATACCGCCATAAGATATTCATCATATTAACCAAATAGTTGTCATTTTCGATAAAATCAAAATCTTTTCCATTGTACAAACCAAGTCGTTCATTTTTAAATACTGACTTACGTTTTTGAAGTCCTGTTTTAAATAAAATTAGTTATAGTTTGAACTTTAAATAATATGTACATTAAAAAACTTACCTAAATTTGTGACAAAATTAGACATATATCTGTTCCTTTGGTGTATAACTGATCCACCAGTCTCATATTCATTGCCATCACTCATCATTACTGTGGCTAGTCTTCCACCAACTTTATTGCCCTCATAAATATCTAAATTAACTAAATCTTTAAATATTTCTTTTAAAAAATATGCACAAGATGTTCCACCTATGCCACTGCCGACTATTGCTGTAAAATAAAAATTATAATAACTTAAATTAAGCATTCAACTCTTAATTCAATAGCTATATGACCTACCAATATTTAAATCTGCTTGGTGTGTACATTTTAATAAAGCCAAGAACCAAAAGAACACTACTAGTTCCATCAAGTACTTCATTTTGTCTGCTTTGGCTGAAGTGAACAGTTACTTGAGTTCGTGGAACAACATTAAAAAGTAAGTAAATTAATAGCAATTACATTTTTTAGAAAGGGAAAATATAAATTAACTATTGACTCGTTTTTGTTAAAAGATAATTATAACAGGGTTCACTTTTTTCGTCAAGTATGAGAGCTATTTAATACAAAAAATATTTTTAGTATAATTCTATGATTGACCCGTAGTTTTGAAATTCGAACTTCGAAGTTCGAACTGTTTCTGGTCAAGAAATATAAACGACTATAATGTAATATTATATTTATTAGTGAATTATTGTGATCTTGGCCCTCGGCGTTTTCCAATGAAAATGATAACACCTCTACTTATCACTATGACTATGATAACAATCTGTTCGGCACAATTGTATAGATAATATTATTATCATTATTTCATTGTACCAATTCATGCCACAGTGGTCAGTGTTTATTTAGTTGTACGCTTATAGGTACATGGATGAAAGATTGCATACAACTATACAAGATACAAATATTCAAAAAGTAACCAATAATAAATAATTATAAATGGTTTTATGAATTTCAATGAATCATAAAAATGTATTATTCATCAAAATGTAAATGGCTCTTATTTAGTCAATTTTGGTTTTAGAGCCATGGTCAATAAATCAAAATCACTTAAAAATTTCAGCCTATCCGAATTTGGTAACGAAAGTACTGGTTGCCATTTAAAAATAATATGCAAGTAGTATTGCCATGTGAGTACCAAGAGTGTTAAAAGTTTGAAATTTCTCTGAAAATGTGTATTTATATACCACAAGATTGAAAAAAATCGATTTATAGTGTTATACCAATATGATTCAGAGAAATTCAGTGTTTCCTAAATTGGTGAACATACTGTGTATGTATATATGATTGTGAATGCATCAAAAGTATAATTATTGGATATATTTTTTTTTTAATTTCAAAATTTTAATTTCAGATGCACATAAAAAAATATTGTGGATCTACGCTCTTTTTTTAATACTTATGAGAAATGTTGTAGTACATTTTCAAAATTTTACCCCGACATTAATTAAAACAAATTCAAAAATTTCATACGCCTATAAATAGCTCACAAAGTGTCTTAATATTTCGAAAACTGTATGGTGCATAGAAATTGCTTATTTTAAACATTCAGTGAAATTTGCGTATACCAATCTAAGGTTATTTTTTTCAGAATTAAACTAAAGAACAAAACCTCAGTTTTTCCTTAATTTTCAAATATTCTATTAAACTTATTTCATTGTTAATGAAACATTAAACAATCATATAAAATTAAAATATCATACATGTAACTATTGTAACTATGATTTATGTTTTACGGATTTTTTTAAAATCTATATTGATTTTTTTGTTACAACGTGGTTATGTTAACTTTTATTTCACGTGATTTTGACTAAATATGATTAACTGGTACCTATGTGGTTCTAAACGATAATGCGATTTTAGATAAATGGGTGAGGTTTTGAACGGTTTGCTTTTGAGATAACTGTGTGGAATTGATGTATAAAAGTGTGCTGATTTAAACCATAGCTCTTTTTTGAAAGTGTGGTGTTATGACGACCACCCCAAGATGTTACCCTATACTCATCGGGTATTTACCCACGGTACAACAATAAACCCTACGGACTGCGTATAGGTATAAATTATAAATAAATCTATTGCGGCTTCAATATTATAGTCTGCTAATATTTTAATAGGTAGTAAATTACTAGTAATAATATTAGTGTTTTATTGTACAAAGATTACTCAGATTAGTAAATAATTATAGTAAAATACCTCGTAAATTGTAGGACTTTTTCAACAAAAAATTTGTTTGTTTAAAATATGGCTAAGTTTATTGTATATATAGTGCATTAGGTATATTGTAAAAACTAATAATTATGTAGATACGCGACCTATCTCTAACTAAAATCGACGCAATTATTTAATGTTAATAATAAACTGTATAGACGTATAGTAAAAACTTATAATCGAACTTTTTCACTATAATTGCAGTTCAAAATCGATTTAAATATGCATGCACATTACTGACCTTTAGAATTAAATATAGTTATAGCCAATATTATATATAGATAGAGTTTCAGATACTCAAAGTATACCTATATTTAACTTTTTAAACATTTTTTTAATCAATATAATAATATATTATAGGTAGGTTTAGTAGATACTTGGTAGATATATACTTAGTGCTTACTGGTCGTTGAACAATTTGATTAATGACATTTTTGAAATTCTCTGTCATATTTATAGGTACCGACCAACAAGTGTTAACAGTTTTAAGAAATAGAAATGCTACCAAAAGAAATATTCAATCTGGAAAATTGTATTCATGACATAAGAACAATTATTGCGATTCGAACAAAAAGAAAAAGATTATTATATTTTAAACAGTTAAAACCCATAATCGTAGCATTAAAATTATTCGGAGTTATGCCATTTACTACACATACAAACGGTATAGTGAACAAATTATGTTATGAATTTAATACAATTTACTAGAAGCTAAAATTAAAACACGAACATCTATAAGTAATAATAGCTCTATTGTTCTGTTAAATAACAAATTGTAACTTGTACGAATACTTTTAAATACAGTGTAAACCAGAAGTACATAACAACTCAGGTACTAAACCTTCCATTATTTTCATTAATTATAAATATATTATTACTTATAGATGTTCTGAAGACATATACGATGGTTACAACGTACAATTGAGGACCTTGATTGATAATTAGAAGCTTAATTGTAAGTAAATCATTGTATAAAAATAATTGTTGTGTACTTGTGTTGAATATAAAGTAGGTAGTTTAATTGACTGATGTTGAATGTTATAAAATTGTTGTTAATTTTATTACCTAAATACCTAATACCAATAATAAATACAGGGTGCCCTATGAGGATTCACACATAGCGATATCTCCTGAAATAATGGAGATATTATAATTCTTTTTTTTTTTATAAGACTTACTTACTTACTACTTACTTACTTACTTACTTACTTACAAGAACTACAAATATTTCATGTTTTAATTTATTTTCAAAAAAAGTGATGGTAGCCATTTTGTAGATTGTTTTTTTTTTTTGAAAATATTGATGTTTCCTCATTTATTAATCTTTTGATTTTTAATATTTTTTCTAGTTTCGAAAAAATTTGCAAGCCACCACTGAAAACATTTGCCGGCCTTACGAGCACGCGGGCCGCATGTAGCATGTTTGATACCATTATCCACTATATGGTATCAAATAATTCGCAATTTTTCTCAAAATTTAAAAAAACATTAAAACTCGGAAAATTAATGAAAATAAAATGTTGAAAAATTACTATTTTCAGAAAAATGAACTTCAAAACGGCTAGCTTCAATTTTTTTGAAAATAATTAAATAAAAAAATTTATTTTTTTACTTTTTTACCAAAATATTAAAATAAATTAAAACATAAAATATTTGAAGTTATTGTCATTGGGAGTCTTACAGAAGTGCAGAACTATGATATCTCCATTATTTCAGGAGATATCGCTATGGGTAAATTCTCATGGGTCACTCAGTATACCTAGTTTATTTATCTTATGACTTATAGTATTACCTGTAGTGTGTAACTGTATAAGACGTATTAAACTAAATCGAATTGTATTGTTTTTTATAGGGCCAGTGTTTATATTATTCTCTTGGATCATGTTATACAGTTTGTCAATTTTTACATGCTTAAATGTTTTGTTTTTTTATAAATTATACGGGGATTACAAATATTTTGTCAAATCAGATACAATTGTTTTCAATTTGCTACATAGAATTTCTGGATCTTCGATAGGACTTATTTGCTTTATACTTCCCATTTTTTGGACTGACATGAAAAATATACCAGAATACTGGGATCGATGGAGTATTTTTCAGGTTTGTAGATACTTCCACAGTACCTATTCTTTAAAAACAGTCAAAAACCAATGTTTATATTTTTCAGGACAAATTTGAATCGTGTATGCGAAAACCATTTCAATTGAATATAACAAAACGAGTATGGTTCGTGACAATATTGCCCACCGCTCTTATGACACTCAATATAGTAGAAAGTTTATTATTTGTTAAGGGGTGGAAAGTAAATAATTCCATATTGTTTATTGGTATATTTGGTATCATAAACCTAACAACTGGATATTTTTATATCAACTGCCACATATTTAGAAATGTCAGCAAGGACATAAACCAGCGTATAATGGTTAGAACTTAATAATTTAATCTAAATAGCTCGTAGTAAGAATTTATAATTCTTAATTCTTATTTACTTCATCAGTCTATAAAGTTATTCTCAGCGGCCAACTGGGTGAAGTATAGAACAAACGTTAATCTGTAGTTTGTACCACTCAAACATGATGTAAAATAGGATACAATTAGAAAAAACATTTAACCATACCTATGTATTAGTATAAAATAGTTTTATTTAAAAATAATAAATATAAAGTTCATACAATTAGTAAATTTTACAAAATATTTACTTATAAATTGGTAATAGTAATTACTAATTAGTACAAGTTGTAATAATAACCTTGCTTCAAAAATCAAAATTAAAATTAAAGTATTACTGGCAAATAAACAGTCATACAATCATATGATTTAACGATTATAGGTATACTAATATACCGCCTATAGTCAACCTAGATAAAGTATCATTCTTTCTGCTGGTCGATTACCATCAAATTTTATAGTACCGTCCCGTTCTACTGTATGGTGGTCTTAAAATGTAAATATGAATGAAAGGTAAAATGTTACATAATGTTGTATAATTGGGGTAGTAAAAGGTAATATTTACAATCTGTATATACTATATGCGATACTTGAGTGTGTATAAACAAGATACAGGACAGTACAGATTGTTAGAAGGGGTTTCAATTAAAACACTAACATTACTTCGAATGTTACTTTTAATTTTTGTTTGTTGATTTGCCTAGGAAGCATGAGTTTAATCATTAAGGCCATTAACTAATGCTCAAGCTGGTTATAATAATTCAATATTTATATTTATATATATATATATATATATACAATATACATCGTAATTTATATTGAACAGGAGTTAATAATAACAAAGGGATCGCCAACCAGGCTTAGGGAGCATACAGAACTTTGGTGTTACATGTCACATCTCATAACTGATTTCGGTATCGTTCATGGTGGAATTTATAGTTCTACTGCAATTGTCATATAAATATCCTGTTCGACATTTTGGTTTTACTTCACCATGACACTTATAAGCCCCGAGAACTACCTGGTTACAGTAATAATTTTGCCACTTGTATTCACAAATTCAATACTTATGGTGTATAGTGAAGCCGCGTACATAGCTCTTTCAGAGGTAACTACCTAAATCTTCTTATGATTTGCTTGATAATTGCACAGCTAAATTTTAAAGTACTTGCACATTTAAATTTATTCTTAAAAATGTTTCAGGTGGGAAAGAAATTACAGTGGAAAATCTTGAATTCAACCGTGTGTGGTCTTACGGAACAAACACAGAGAGAAGTAAGTGCAGTTGTTTTTAAAATATGTATCTATAATAGCCTAATACATTTTTGTATTAATATGTTATATACATTTTATTTATTTTATTTTTTAAAGATATATAATACATTCTATAGAGCACAAAAGAAATTGTGTTAATGAGTGAAAATAAACATGAAAGTGAATTGATTGATTGAGGAAGCCACCCAGTAGTGGTGCCACTTCCTATTTGTTTGTTTGTTTGTTTGCTTGTTTTATATTATTATTATATACTTATTTTTTTACTGAGTCTTGAAGACACTACAACGTTTTCGTTTCAGGAGTCTTGGAGGATTACCAGGAATTACGTTGGAGGATAAGTTATGGATAAAGAGGTTAATGTGAAACGTGAGTACCAAGTTAAGCATGGAACCTCTAAAAAAAAGGTTTTGTTTCTTTCTGGATGATTTTTGGATGTAAATCAATGTGAAGGGGGAATGATGAAGAATTTGTTATTTTTCTTAGGGTAATATTTTGTGATGACTGTATTTTTTTCAAATTGGAGGCTTGGAATTTCCCCATACCTAATACATAATTGGAGGATACGTCCACATTTGCTGTCGAGGGGTTTGTAGTGTTTGTACATAATAGTAATTTAATGTATAAGTTAGTATGTTAATAATTGTTATAAGTATTAAGTATAAGTAGCCGGAAGTTAAGTTGGCTTTAATATGGTGAGCACAGGTAAGCGTGCAGTCGAGTGGGAGTGTTAATCAAGATATTTTATAGTTGCGAGGAAGTGAAGTGATTTGGTATCATAGAATTATTATACGTTATACCGGTGCAACTCAAACCGCTTCCATCCATTATTGTTTGTCAGTTTCTAAAAGCCTCCGTTATTTGGCAACACAATTTTTTTATGATTTGCTTTGCATATTATATGATTTAAAAAAAAACACAAACACATATTTAACCATATCGATTTTGAGACTAAGCATGTATGAAGTGGGAAGGAATTTGTGTGTTAGAATAGGGGGAATAGTGAAGACCAGAAGGTCAATAAAATGACTTATAATTTGTTTCAGGTACAAGATTTTTTAGAAATGATTCAACTTTGTAGAACAAATATTACTTTTGGTGGTTTTTGTGAAGTTAATAGAGAACTTTTTATCAACGTAAGTTCCTTTATAAGACACACAAATATTTGTTTTTTACACCTATTCTTTGTACATAATTACGATGTAATTTATTTGAATACAAAGAGTAAATATATGATAGAATAGAGAATTTAATTAATTAAATTAATATTTATTTTTAGTTTATACTCGCCGTATTTTTTAACTTGGTTGTTGCATTTCAATCTCAAATAATTCCAAGACAATATACAACATCCACTGACTGAAGTAATTTCGTTAAGTAAGAACTATTGAAAATCAAAAATTAAAATAATTATATTTATAATTGACTTAGTATTATACCCCATGGTAATAATGTGTTATTAGCTATTATAATTGTTAAATTAGACACGAATACACGAGACATGCAATTTTATAAACATTTGAACGACGTTTATATTTTTTCATTTTTTTGATAGAACATAGAACTAATGAGTAATGGAGCCATATTTGTTTCTGATGTTAATATAATTATGGATGAATAATGGATACTCTGGATTTAGATATTTAATTTAATGTAGTATTTTAAATTTTTATAATGTGATATTTTGCCTTAAAATGTTTATTTATGGTCGTATAATAATAATTTAATCTGTTACTTGATACGAAGGTAATTGAATTTAGTGCTTAACTTAGTTCATTGATATGTCATACGAATAAATAAATATCATTTCAATTATTAGATACTTATATTTTTTTGTGTATTGTGTGACGTGTGTTTATTTTACTAATTTACTTATTACTTATTACTTATTAGTTATCATAATAACCCACACATTATTTTAGATGCAGAGGGGAGCGATAAATGTATTAGTTTTATTATGATGTACCTATGTTTTTTTTGTATAAGTAAGTCATTACATTTTTGAGCAGAAAAAGAGTTTCAATCTTAATGTCTCAGTGTGGCTCTGGTAGAAAATTAGAACTAGTTTCTAGTCGGAACTTTTGATAATAAAAAGTAAAGAAGATCTTTACAAAATAAACGACAAAAACAATACAAATTAAAATATCCGAAAAACGGAAAAATTCACTGAACATCAAATTTCGATAAAAGTTTTTTTAGTGATTCGAAAATGAATAACCGTAAACTATGAGATTTATTGAAATTTTCATCCACCAACTAATAATAATAGAATTTTCAAGACAAGTTATAATTTTAGCACTTTTTAACTAAGTAAGTACAGGGGGCCAATTCTTGAAATCATCAGACTAATTCTCGCGTGCATTAAAAGTCATAGATTTTATCGACTGTGACAAATTTTTATCGCATGCGACTTATAATTGGTATTCTCGAAGACTTAAACTGAAATCGAGATTTCATCACTTCTCGAATGCGATAAAGTAAACGAATAGATCATATACCTGGAGTGAAAAAATGAAACATAATATGTGTAAAATGTAAAATGATATATTTATTTCAATAAACAATCAATGGTAAAGATATTAGCAGAATTTGTATGGAAAATTAGTTATTATACTAGGCCGACAAGTAATAAAAGATGTTGATGAATAAATAATGAAAATCAAATAATTACATAATAGCAAAAATGATTTTTTTAAATAAAAATCCTACTAAGAATTTTCATAAGTACATAATTGAATAATATTATGAAAATTAAACATGTTCGGAAGGTAATGAGAACATTCCTGTCATCGTTGGTGTCATCTGGATGACAGGATAGTGTTAAATTATTTTGAAAATAATAAACAATTTTACATACATAATGTATCAATGTGTATATAATAGTGTATACTTTTGATGTATATATACGGACCCAGTTTATTCATTATATTTTGTATTACCTGAAAACAAAGGCTCTTTAATGTAGTTACGTTTATTATGTATCTTGTACCTACATCATTTTAGCGCCCTTATTCGTTTCACCTTTATAATTTCGCCAATGGATATATTGTGCAATCACTGACTATTCAATGTTGCACGCAGGGGGAGGGGCTAACGGGCTGAAGCCATCCCACCATTGTCCGTAGTATTATTAATTTTTATAAAAAATAGTAATTTACCAAGTTTCAACTGCTGTCAACTAGTAAGCAAGACATAAATTCATATACGTCTTACCGAAATACATATAGCCAATAACTAATGTTATACCACGTCACCATGGATAAACCTAGGAAGGTTGAATTCATTTCTGCAAAAACATTTTAAGTATTTGCATACCAATTTTCCTAAACTTATCATAATTGTTTTGGTAAGAGTATGAAAAACGTTGTATTCAGTTTTCAAGCCTTCGCTATACAAATTTAATATTTTTTAACTATAATTTAACTGTTATTTTGTAAAAATGTGATCTTTAAATGCTTATAAAAAATAATTGTGCCTATATGTATAGTGTATCGTTGATATTTTTAAATAGCTATAATAAAAACTTATGAGTAATCTTGTATTACATTTTTATACTCTTGGAGTGCACGAATATTTTTTTATTGACGTTTTAAAAAAAAACAAAATTAATAAAATACAATCCAGGCGAACACGATCTAACCAAGGTTACAAAGGTTTTACACATCATTTTCATTAATTTATTTTTATTTTTTCCGATCAATCAAAAAAGTACTGAGAATTTTAATTTTGATATCTCAAAGTAACCAACTAATTCCAATTCGCTTCCAAAAACCGCCAAAGAAGTTTATGATCAGTGCATTTTTTCTTTTAGAAAAGTTGATAAGTCGTCGAAGTTGAATACAGACATTTTCGAATATCTTACCTGAAAATCTGAAATTTTTATATACCTATTATAGTTAACGCGATAAACGATAATTATACATATATTCGACAATTATATATTTATTATAATATGTTATCGTAAAGATACTGCACTAGTGCACCACCCCACTACAAACCACCGAGATGTTTGCTTTCTACTCGCGGAAAGAAGAAAAAAATATCGGTGGCAGGACACCGCCTACAAACAACTGTAGCTACAGCACTATAGCTTGCGAACGTGTGCATGCCATCGCACTCGTTGCAGTGGTGACACAGTACTCGACTCGAAATGACGGACTCCGCGATCGACGGCTGCGAGAACGGCAATTCGGTATAAATATGAGACAACGGCGGTAGTAAACATTTTTGAAAAAATGATTTTTACACTCGTTCAAAGCGAAATGTCGAAAAATTGAATATTGATACCGAGTGCCGTGACCGTCAGCTATTCAATCACACGAAGTATTTTTACCCGGCATTGTTCCTGTGTACATAGACTTCAACGAGCCGAGACTAGCGCAATCCTCTGGTAAGTCGTCTTGTTAGATTTTAAAACAATCAAAAAATATTTATAGAATCCTCATATATAGTATACTTATTACTTATGTACGGGCATAATGTACGGTCATAGTCCATAGCTCCGAGTTCGTGGATGTTCCAGAGCTCGAGCATCTATTAAATCGTTTTCTATTTTAACAATTCTACACTTATATGTTTTTTTAATCATTATTATTTGGGGCACCCATTGATCTTTTGAAAGCCAGTATAAATAATTATAAATTTAGTAAATGTACTGCAGTTTTCCAAGAATCTGACATAATAGTGAATAAAATCTGTTTTCTTTTGGGTTCCGCAATATTAGCATCAAATTTCTACATGAATAGGAAGGTACATATTGTATTTTACTGGACACGGGTTCCTTCAAAAAAATACGGTACCTTTTTTAATTGTACGTGGTTTTTGACACGCGCTGTCGGTTTGCGGTTATTTTTTTTATTTGATTTGAAAAATAGTGAGTTTCACGTTTTGAAATAGACCATAATGATCGAGCTAAATAGTACCTATGCACAACAAATTTACAAATATTGTAGTACTGGTTGGTATAATACGGGCAGTTACTATTTTCTTAAATTGAGAAAAACCCGCTATACACATTTCACTCAACCTCCGACTGCTCAGGAACCCTACCCTTCAGTCATCACGACATCACTCATCGGGCTTTGTTATACAATTCCTTTAAAAGGTCATAATATTTAAATCATTTATTAATACGTAAAACGTTATCCTCGGAATTAAATATATGGGTAGTTTGTATTTAAAAAAAAAAATAATAATAATATAATAACAAAAAGAAAAAGTACTGCTGTCACTATTTTTTCTTTTAATAACGTATGATATCCGTGATGGAAATTCGACACGTTGTTTCACCACTAGTCACGGTGGTGCTATTTCGTAATAATTTAAGATACATGAAAAATACTTTAGGAAGGTATAGGTACTATAAATGCTAAATTACTCCTGTTTTGTGTGGGAATTTGAAAAAAGATGAATTTTTTTTCAAGTTATTTGTTTTTCGTTATTTTTTTGTGTCAGGTTTTCCAGAGATGAAAAGCCGACATATTTTATAAACCAATGGCAAAAAAACTACATCAAGTATATCCGTATCGAATTACAGTGGGAAATCAATATAATTGGATTTTTTCACTGTTTTCGTGATAGGAGATTATAATACATGCCACTATAATCATATATTTAATAAAAAAAGCTAATAACTAATAATATGCCACCAATGCTCAATTATTTTAATTTACAACCCCTTTACAATATAATTATAGGTTTGCTGAAATAACTTTTTTATTTTCGGGGTAGTAAAAAACTCACACCGCTGGATGGTGCGGCCAGTGGAGACCACACAACTAAATATATCTCAGAGATGTTCGTAAAATATAAATTATAAATTACTAAACTATATAAACCTCAAACCTCAAAAATAAAAATATTACTAGAAAACTAATTATTTCTATCAGTTTGATCGCCTAATAATTAATTTCTCTTTAGGTAATACATAGGCTACCGTTACTATTATTATTATTCTGATTTTAATGAAACAGTTTAGATTTGTTTTTAAAGAATAAATTATAGTTATTTGTATATGACGTATGAACGTAAATGGCAAATTACCTATACACAAAATCGACAAATATAAGAAAGATCTGCGAAATTCAAAGTTATAATAGAGCAGCGGGTGTTTATAGGCATCAAAAATATTTAAGATTTTTATAAAAGAATATTTTGCCAGCCACTCCTATTATTATTGGACCCTAGCAGTTATCGTTGCGAAATCCGTTTGCAGGTCATTAATTAACTAAAATAATTTTAAAATACCTACCTGCAGTCTAGTGTATTTAGATATTATATTGTTATGAACGTACGTTTGTTGCGGAATATTATTTTATTGTATACATATTAATGTTTGTGTATTTTCACTCTATCGGAACAATATACTGTAAGATGGTTATAAATAAGGTATGTCACATAGCTTTACGTTAGTTTATTAACACTTAATGTGCAGCTGTTTATTACTTAATATTTTAAACATCACTAGAAAAAAATGCAAAATTCATTTAAAGCAAGTGGCACTCGTATAAAGATCTGTCAAGAATTTTATACTATGCAGTCTGAGTATATAGTCAGCTGTAGTACATATAATCGTATAAATGATATTGAATCTTGTTACTACCACAGAATAATAAAATATAGTTTAAATTCAAATTTAAATTTCATAATAACTTTGATTTCAAGTATTGTGCTGTGTTTGTAGCAGTGTGTTATGAGGTAGTGAGATATTTTTATCAAAACCGGATTCGATGAATATAATATCTACTTTCATATATAATATAAATTATTTAAACCATTTTAAGCTGCATTTTAGAGAAATTCTTAAGAATAGCGTACAATACATTTTACAGTAGTATTATATATAAAATAATCCACATGTATAATCAGTATAACATTTTTTCATAAGCATTTCACTAAAGTCTATTTATTTTACATGAATATTTCATAAATTATAATACATATCCATCCACATGTCCATAGTTAATATTAATATTTATTACAATTTGGTAATCGCAAATCGAAATGATTATAAAGGTAAAAGTACCTATAGCTAGGTGTGTTTATTTGTATTTTGTAGTAGGTGCTATCAATTTCTATGTTATCAACATTTCTTATTAAATAATGTTATCGGTGATGGTTTCTCATGATTATTACATCATTATAATTAATTTATATAATATTACTGTTGTTTAATATTGTTAGTGAATAATGTTATATTGTTATGAATTTATAAATTTATAATTTTATTCGTTATAATATTATCATAATGACATACTAAAACTGAATTGCAATTTTAAAAGCGTTATGTTTGTAATATTTAATGATTGGTTATTTCTTTTAATCATAGTGTTACAAAAAATATCTAAAGATAAAAATATACACATTGTGTATTATAATAATGTATGTTATCGATTTAAATTATTTGTAAACCCAAGGGCCCGTGTCGCAGAGGGTATTGTATAAATTAATAAAATAATAAATTAATGTATAGTCCATTATTATTTATTGGTATGTATAATTTCAAATTTTCGAGTTAATTCACCTTTACAATAAATGTACACCATATCATTACGAGGTGGTGCCTTACACATCATTTCTGAATCCTTAACAAAAAACTTTATTATTTTTTTAATAGACAGCCATGGTACCAATGCATAAGTTGTACATTATATAACGATTTAACGTAATAATATTATATATGTATTGCATATATATAAACAATCGGATAAACATAATATTTTTACCTGGGTAGGTACCTAAAATAACATACTCACAATTAACGATATACCTACTACGTAATAATTTTATATTTTATCAGTATCACAGTACCTAATACTATATCGTATTCGGTTAGGTAAGGTCAGGTTAGTCCAAATATTATAGGTATGTACCGTAATATACCGTATAGGTATGTTGTATATTTATAACTGCTTGCCCCGACATTACTTTGAATATGAATTATGAGTAGGTATATAACTATATAGTATATATATTATACATTAAAAAATAAGGATTAAAAACAAGACACTACGTGAGTGCGAAAGTTATGAATTATGATTGAATTCGTATGCAATTGACGTACCAAATTGGCAAAAAATTACAGCCATAACTTTATTTATAGGTACTTTCGTTACTCGTAAAAAAACATTATGTGGTGCTGATGTTAAATGTTTAATGTATAATATTAAATTGAAATTAATAATTATGTAATTCGATAATAATATGACTATCCGTATTCCATTTAATGCCGTATTGGCGTGGGAACATAGTTAATTGATATTCTATATAATACCTACCTTATATTTGAAAGCGTTCTCCTATTTTTGTTTATTGTAAAAAAGAAAACTGGAAAATACGGTGACCCTAGCTGATTCCCCTTGTAAAGGGGAACTTAATAGTTAATGTCTTTATACGGGATCGACGACCCCACCATATTTATGAAGGTATACTGCGTATATACTATCTACGTAATATTATTATATTATTAATATATTTTTATAAATATCTAACTT